GAACAGAAACAGGAGGAGTGGATTTGGGGGTTGGGGGAAGAAGAGGAGTGAGGGAAAACTGGTCGGATGTAAAATAAAATACGAAAGCTAGCTTACAGATTAGATGTGGTCATAACCTGTATGATGACTGTCGTTGGTACACACGTGGGCGTCATAAAGTATGATGAAGTAGGCATTTAGTTACTTGTTTAACCTTGCAAAGGTGAACACTCAAGAGTAAAGAATACGGCCGGGCGGTGGTGGCGCACGCCTTTAATCCCAGCACTCGGGAGGCAGAGCCAGGCGGATCTCTGTGAGTTCGAGGCCAGCCTGGGCTACCAAGTGAGTTCCAGGAAAGGTGCAAAGCTACACAGAGAAACCCTGTCTCGAAAAACCAAAAAAAAAAAAAAAAAAAAAAAAAAAAAAAAAAAGAGTAAAGAATACACCACTACCCAAGTCAGAGCTGTCATTGCTTTCCTAGTTTTTACCTACAGTCCTGGTGCACAAACGAGGATCTTGTGTGCAGCCTGATGCAAAGTCCAGCTGGAAGAGCTTGAGGAGGCAAGGCCAGGAAAAACGTAACCTTGGCTGATGCTACTGACTGTCCATGCCAGCAATACTGGCTGAGGCAATAATGAGAGTAATGTTTACTGAGAACTTGCTATGCATCATATTGTGCTGTATTTTATCGAATGTAACCTTAAGTTAACAGTTGTTTAGTTCCCAGTCCTATATGACTGGTAAGCCCATTTACTGGTGTGGTTACTGAAGCTCAGAAAAGAAAGACATTTGTATAAACACTGCAAGGAACACAAGTGAAGGTGCAAACGTAGTCCAGAAGCTGCATTTTTGCCTCTTAGATTACTCACATATAGATGTGGAGTTTTCTATTCAACAGCGTTGAAAGCTTTTGGACTCACTGAAGTGCAAGGCGTCGAGAGCAACGCTAAGTTCTCACACTTCTCGGGTATTTTCATGTCCATGTTCGTTTCATCTCAACCAAAGTGCTCACCAGCAATTTTCCCCAGTTGTCATGAATGAGGAACTGTCTCTCAAATAGGTCTCCTGTCACTCCTGTTGGCCTCAACTTCGTGTATTGAATCAAATCCCATTCCTCCTCTGTTTCCATGTTATTGTTTGAATCTGTAGTGCCATACATTCAAGGGTTGGTTACCAGCAAACCATGAGAGGTTCATGGATCCTGATGGCTTTGCCTTAGTTCTCTTCTGCATTGCTGTGACGAGTCCCCTCATCTGCTGTGATCCCAGCAGCTCTGCCTAGAACTCACAGGTACCAGGTGGGGGTTGCCTGGGTGAGTGCTTAATTCACAAGAACCCTTTCAGGGAGCCTGAGTCAGCTGGCACCAGACCTGTTTGAGTCCATAATTCTTTTAAAGTTTTAAAAAAATGGGGAAGAGGGCATAGTGAACATCTGGGAAGGTTGACACTGTGATGCTTAATTATATTTTGTCTGATAACTTGGGTAAGCCAAGGGGCCCCTGGATATTTGGTCAAGCATTATTCTGGGTATTTCTCTGTGCATGTTTTAGATAATAACAGTTATGTCGGTGGACTGAGAATCAAGTATGTATCACTTAATAATATGGGAGGATTTTATATAACCTGTTTAAGACTTGAGTAGAATCCAAAGAATGACTTTCCCAGGCAAGAGAATTCCCTTTTGTTAAAGCATATTGTAGTGATTTGAATGAAACTGGCCTCCATAGGCTCTTTTGTGTGAATGATTGTTTCACAACTGGTTGAACTGTTTCGGAAGGATTAGGAGGTGTGGCCTTGTTGTAGGAGGTGATGGGGGGGTCGGGGGGAGCTTGGAGGTTTCAAAAAGCCAAACCAATTCAATTAGTTCTCTATATCTCATACATGTGGATAAGATGTAAGCTCTCAGCTACTGCTCCAGCACAATGCCTGCCCACTGCCATGTTCTCTGTCATTGTGGCTATGGATTCACCCTCTGAAATGGTAAGAAAGCTTCTAGTCAAATGCTTTCTTTTATAAGTTACCTTGGTAATGGAGTCTCTTCACAACAACATAAAACACACATAAAGTCCAAAGGTGACATCATTGAACAAGGAGAAATGGACAATTATTCCTAGTCCTCCGACACGACAAAGTACTTATCACTGAGCTTCAGCATCTTGTATTAAAACATTCTGAAATTTTTTTAAAATCAAGTTCACATTTTAAAAATGACATCTTGGCTGGGCAGTGGTGGTGTACGCCTTTAATCCCAGCACTCAGGAGGCAGAGGCAGATGCGTCTCTGTGAGTTTGAGGCGAGCCTGGTCTACAAAGCGCATCCCAGGACAGACTCCAAAGCTACACAGAGAAACCCTGTCTCGAAAAACCAAAAATAAATAAACAAATAAATAAAGTGACATCTTTAGCAATCTATTAACAAACTGGGGGGAATTGAAATTGCTCGGTGATATACAGTATGCATACATGCTATAAAATAGAGTCAAGTGAAGGGCAGAGAGGAAAGCAGCTGTTGGGAGGGATGAGCAACTGCATGGCCATCTTTTGAAACAACCCATTGTAAAAATACGTAAACTTGAATGGAATTGTTTCCAGGGATAACCATTGGACCTTAAATCTAATTATGTTGACATTTATGTGGTTAAAGTACAGAAACGAGCTTTCTTTAAAATCTAATTAAATGATTTCCAGAACTATGTAAGTATGTTCATGGCAGAAAATCCAGGAAAACAGAAGGATTTATTTGTTTATGTGTGTGGATATGTGCATGAGTGCAGGTTCCTGCTGGACCGGCCAGAAGAGGTCATCAGAGCCTGTGGAACAGCAGTTACAGGTAGTTAATTATAAGCTGTTCAGTATGGGTGCTGTCAACTAACTCTGGGTCCCCTGTAAGAGCAGAATGTGCTCTTAATTGCTGAGCCATCTCTCCTGCCTCATCCATTTAGGAAACAGTTTTAAAACTGACAGAAAGAAAACAAAACCCACTGGCAATCTTATTATAAAATGAAGGTAATATTGATGGTAACAAGCATGGCATCTGACCCCCAAAGCATTTGATAAACAAAGATATTTGCAAATTTCTGTTCCAGAAGTTTCCGCAGGACTTGTGAAACAGGTGGTATTTCCTTTACTTAACTCTCAAAGGGCTTGAAACTCCAAAAGAACACCTTCCTGTTATAGTTAGGATGTCAAATACACCCCAAATACACCTATGGCCGAAGTATCTCTGTCCAGATGGTGGCACTATTCTGTGGTGGGCTCCCTAGGAAATAGGGAAATGGTGGGAGGTCCTTGGTCACTAGGAGGACACTTTCTCAGCTGCTGTGACATACCTATAAATCCCAGCACTGGGGGAGGAGGAGACTGAGGCAGAAGGATCTTGTTTGAGGCCAAACTCGAAAGCTTAAAAACAGACTTAACATTCAGCATAACTGCTACAACAATCTAAGTCAAAAGAAGAACTGCAGAAGATGTGTACTGTGCTGCTGGTTAAATATAGGATGACAAGAATGTGAGCCGGTCCTGTCCTATTAGCATATCCTCAAATGCAAAGCCCTAGGAACACAATGTCATTGGCTCCAAAAGAACGAGAAAATGGCAGCCCACAGGCTTACATTTTGCACTGTGTGAAATGCAACAATTATGGACCTGGGGAGATGGCTCAAGGGTTAAGAGCACTGGTTGCTCTTGCAGAGGACCCAGGTTTTATTCCCAACATCTACATGGTGCCTCACAAGTCTTTAACTTCAGTTCTGGAGGACCTGATGCCCTTATCTGGCACCAGGCACCCATGAAGTGCACTTATATGCAGGTAAAAACATAGCAGTACCCTCCCCCCACACACATACCTTTTAAAAAAACCAGAAAACACAGCAATATGAAGAAAACCCCCAGATTCTCAATATCATTTCTTAGTTTTTGCTATGTAACACAGGCTGGCCTTGAACTCCCAGTAATCCTTCTGCCTCAGCCTCCTAATGCCAGAAATACAGGAATGTACCATCTTGTCCAACTAGCAGGCTTTAAGTTTTTTGTTTTGAGACAGGGTTTCTCTGTGTAGTTTTGGTGCCTGTCCTGGATCTCGCTCTGTAGACCAAGCTGGCCTTGAACTCAGAGATCCGCCTGGCTCTGCCTCCCGAGTGCTGGAACTAAAGGCGTGCACTACCACTGCCACCCGACTGGCTTTAATTTTTTTATATTCCATTTCAGTGCATCAGTCCATGGTTAAAATGGCATCAGAAATTACTCAGTAAATTCTAAAACATAATGCAGTCTGGGGAGTGCTGCTGTAACCAAAACCAAGATCCATTCTAATCCCAAATTCTAAGTAAACTTTAAAAAGTGAAGGCAGTGTTGAGGCCAAGACCATCTGAGAATGACTGTCCAGATGAGGCACTCAGCCACTGCACAACCTCCCGGCAGCGCATCCTTAGTGGAAAAGGTAACAAGATTATGGAGTTGATTCTAATCAATTGGTACAAGAAGCTACTTCTAGATCTCAACTGTTACCTTATACCACACTGTATGCTGATTACTACACATCAGATATTGTAAGTATGTAACTTAAAAACTAAAAAGAATAATTGGTTTATAGTCAGTCCTTACATTTTCTTGAGACAAAGTCTCAGTATGTAGCCCTGGATGGCCTGATACTTGCTATTTAGACCAAACTGGCCTCCAAGGCAGAGATCTACCTGCTTCTTATGGGATAAATGACATGTACCACCATGCCCAGCAGTAATTACAATTAAAAAGAAGCAAAATGAAAGAAAGAGAAACCAATTCTGAGAATGGAAGACAGTTAAAAGAGTGTGGTTCCTGGTAGGTCAACCATGCTCAAGTGGGTAGCTCCACCCATGAGTACAAGGACAGCAGATTGGACTCAGTATTTAAAAAAAAAAGGACACTAGAGGTGAGGGTGGATGTAGGAGCTAGGGCGTAGGGGTGAATATGATCAAAATACACGGTCTGAAATTCTCAAAGAATTAAAAATTTATATATTTTTACATAAAAAAGAAACCAAGTGTTACATGCCAGCAGTATTTATTGTTATTCATAAGTGATCAAAAGACATACAAGGCTCATTATTACAACCACATGTATGAAATTTCACTTGGTGACAGAGTGAAAGAGACAGATATGTATTTATATTAAAAATACACACGCGCGCGCATGCGCGCGCTCTCCCAGTGTCTGCCACACAGTGCTATGAAGGCGGTGTCAGGCTACACAAGCACTCATACACGGAACACACGAAGAGTCAAGCGTAAAAACCACACTCAAAGTTGCAAAAATAAAGTTTTCTTTTCTTCAAGCATTTTGATCTGGGCTCAAGCAAAGCAAATGATGAACACCAATGATTTCTATAGGATTCTATATACACTGAAACTATCAATATACAAAAGTCAACAAACAAAACAAAACAAAAAAGGGAGTTATAGGAATGGACAATGCATTTCATCCAAAGTCTAACAGTCTGCTTTATCCCAGCTCTCGGACACTAAGAATCATAATTCACATGACTTGAACGGCAAGGTAAGTAAGCGAGAACGAAACAACAACAGAAAGCCATGACTGCAAACCGGGCATCCCTGCCCTCAGTCTGTCCGACATCCCCCTAGTGCAACAGCATCATTCGCCTGAAGGATCATGAGTCACAATTAAGGAGTACTCATACAAAACTATTTCCTTTATTCTTGAAAAAGTGCCACACACTATCCTTTTCATTTAAAAAAATACACAACACATAAACTAATGGAAGACGGTCTGTCTCCATCTCTTGTCGATGAGGAAAGGCCAGAGCGATTCTTTGATTCCAATCCGAAATGGTGTCCGCTGGCCAATGCCCAAAGTCTCCAATTTGGAGCAGTCGAGCTGAGCATTTTTGGGGCGTTGTGCTCCTATGACAGGGCTGTCAGTGATCTTTAAAGAAAAAACGAAAACAAATCATGAGTAAAGGAAGTAGCATGTTAAGACTTGATACCTCTATTTTAGCTTTCCTTTATGCAAAAAAAAAAAAAAACCCTCTTATTAGAGCTAGAAAAATAAACATGCTGCCATCTAGACAATACTCTTAAAAAAAAAAAAATCAGCCAGGTGGTGATAGTACACGCCTTTAATCCCAGCACTCAGGACCCAGAGGTAGGTGGAACTCTGTGAGTTCAAGGCCAGTCTGGTATACAGAGTGAGTTCCAGGACAGCCAGTGTTACACACAAAAACCCTGTCTTGAAAAACTAAAACTAAACAAATCAATTCTGTGTGGGTAGGTGAGAGAGAAAGGGGGGAGGGAGAGAGGGAGTATATGCTCTTGTAGAGGTCAGAAGACAGACAATGGGAGTCAGTTCTCTCCTGTCATGTGGATGGACGGACTCAGGTTGTCGGGCTTGACAGCAAGTACCCGCCCTCCATCCACCCCCGCCTCCTCCATACTTCTCTATAAACTTCAATATTCTGACTTCTCTAGGGATAATTTACCACCAGGTACTGTCAAGATCCAAACCGAGTTCACTTTGATTAGTTACCCCAAACAGAAAAATGTTATCAATAACATACAGCAGCCTTAGGAAGTCAGGAGGGAGGTGTCAATCAGGAGACTTACAGGCCGTAAGTGGCTGCTGGGGAGGTTGAAGGCATCAGCAATCGCGCATGCCATTTCGTACTTGGTCATCTGCTCGTTGCCAGACCAGTGAAAGGTTCCCTTAATGGATGGATCCTGACAACAAAGACAAGGGGGGGCGGAGAGAAAGTCAATACAGGTTTGACAAGAAATTTAATTTTAAAGGTGCAAGAATCAAAATGCAAATCTACCTTTTTTTTTGAAAATCCTCTTCAAAATACCTAAAATCAAATGTCTACAAATATTCCAACACTAAAAGCAATTTATAGAAATAACTTTTTGAAATAAAAATACAAATGGTGCTAATTTAGAGACAGTGACTAATTTTAATTGACATTTTAAATTATTCTAAGTTAAAATAAAAACAATATAGTTTTGAGACATGATCTCATATAGCCTACCTCCAGTTTCTGAGACTCCTAGGGATTACAGGCTCATACCACCATGACAGGTTTATGAGGTACTGAGATTCAGTACAGGGCTTTGTGCATGCTAGACAAGCACTCTACTGTCTGAACCAATCTTCAGCCTCACTCTTTTTGTTGGTTTTAAGCAAAGTTTTGCTCCATAGCCCTGGCTCAGTATACAGACAATGGGCCTAGAATTCCTATGAATTCTCTTGACCCTGCTGCTTTTACAAGTGCTGGTATTACAAGTGTGCACCACCAAAATCAGTTATAAAATGAACCTGATAAGCACAATGACACACACCAGTAATCCTAGCATTTGGGGAAGATGAGGCAGAAAGAGCCTTGAATGCATGGGCAGCCTGAGCTACACAGGGGTTCAAGGCCACTCTGAGTAACCAAGTGAAGCCATCTTAATAAACCTAAAGAGGTGAACTAGTTAAATACACTTAATCATGCCATGCATGCTATGATATTAACTTTCAGTCTTGCTGAGGCTTCCTCCCCTGCTTTAACAGATTTCCAAAGGCTCATGATATAGTAGAATTAACTGCATGTGTGTGAACACAGGTGTGCATGCCACAGCACATGTGTGGAGGTCAAAGGACAATCTGTGGTTAGTACTTGCCTTCCACCTATTGGAAGAAAGGGTCAGTTTCTCCCAGCACACACTAGTGTAATTTTCATATAATACAAAAATGCAGTCAGTCATGCTGTGACCAGCATTATTTGTACTCCAAAGAAAACTGTTCCCCATCTTCTTATGGACATTCTATTTAATGTCAACTTCACCAAATGTTTAAAATGAATTCCCATTCTGGGCTGGATCGATGGCTCAGTGGTTAAAAGAGGATCTGAGTTCAGTTCCCAAGGGATCCAATGGCCTCTGGCTTCCTTGGATACTTGTATGCATGTGGTGTACATAAATTTATGAAAACACACACATGTGTAATAAATTAAAAAAAAAATAACTCTCACTGGGTGTAGTTGATGCACTGGGCCTCTACTCCCAGCACTAGGAAGGCAGAGACAGGGTCGCTTGCATTCTACAGACCTCATGAATACAGACTCTCCTCTGTAGGAACAGCTTCTGTCTGGTTTCCTGCTTTCAAAAAGCAAGTTTACCTTTCAGTCTATGATAATCTGTGTACACCCATGGAGGTTCAACACAGAAAAGCAGAACTTTCACTAAGACAGAAGTCAGGCCCCATCCTTCCCAAGACTTACCAGCATCCTCTTCTCTGCCAGCTGCCGGCACACACTGGCTACGTCCTTCACATGTGTGGGGAACCTCTGCTGCCAGTGGTCCATGTTTGCTGACTTGTTGCTGAACTGTACCTTGTCGAACATAACAGTCACAGCACTTTCCTCAAGCTTTTCAACTTCCCCATACAGAACGGGAATTCTCAAGACAGCAGCCCCTAGGGACAATACACACAGGTACTTTACGGCTGCCTCTTCCCCAAGTTTGGTGTAAAGAGAAATTGTGTGGATTTAAACAACAGCAAAGTGGAAATCTTGCCTTTTAATAAAAATATACCAGAATGGGCTGTAGCTCATAACTGAACAAACTCAAAGGTGACCATGATTATTCTAAGTATCTATTGTCACGTACAGAATTCTTATCTAATTGGTCATTACACCCATTAAAAATAGAGCCTATCTGGACAACCAAATGAAAAGAACACTCCTGACTGGAGGTCAAGTGAAAGACAACAGCACTGAAGAACAATTTTGGGACAAGTGGGAAACCATCTATACAGGCTTCGTATGTGATAGCAGGAATACATCAGTGTACGGTTTCCCCCGGACTGGTAAATACCTTGTGATTATATAAACAACATTCTTGTCCCTAGAAGATACACGACCAAGTGTTTGATTAACTAATCACCACTGGATCTGGCCAAGTATATACACACAAAAGTACCAATCAAAAACTGATCAATCTGGGGGGTGGGGGTGGGGGAATAGAGTTGAGTGGTCACTTACGACCATGGTTGAAGAAATATTCAATATTAGATTTTATACTGGTACCTGGTGAGGGGTTGATACCTTTAGATTATTAGCACTTTAACAAAGTAGACATGTATTTTCTTTTATAATTACTGAGCAAGTAAAACAGGTCTCGCTGTGGTTTGAATGTTGTACCCACTCCAAAATTATATAATTCCCAGTCCAACAGAGAGAGAGAGAGAGAGAGAGAGAGAGAGAGAGAGAGTGTGTGTGTGTGTGTGTGTGTGTGTGTGTGTGTGTGTGTGTGTGTGTGTGTGTGTGTGATTGGTTTGGGGGAGGTGCGTTGGGAAGATGTTTAGGTCATGAAGACACCACTCTGAAAGAGCTTAATGGGGAGCTGTCTAGTTTGGTTGAGGACAAGCAGAAAGGAGGCCTTTACCACAGGCTGGCTCTTGGATGTTACACTTCCCAGCCTCCAGAACTGTGAGAAGTAAATTCCAGTTCTTTATAAGCGAACCATTCTGTGTACTGTAGCAGCAACATGAAGCAGAGCAAGAAGGGAGATTGATGCTAGGGAGACTTTTGCAGGGTTGATTTATATACTTATTTTATTTACTTTATGTATTTACTTTATCTGGTGGTGCTGGAGATTTAACCTTGGGCATCATGCATGCTTAGCAATCACTCTACAACTGACACAGAATAACTTAGAATATTAAAAAAAAAACCCACAAAACCCCAACAAACTAAATGTCCGTAAATGAGGGCATTACAAGCTGGTGGCTGTTTTTCAGGGGCACACTACGACGACCTAGGGCACCAGTTCCCACAGGGATCATTATGTCGAGCATGGTGCTGTAACAGAAAGAAATGAAGCTGAGCATGATGCTCCCACAGACAGGAAGAAGTCTCCTCAGAACTGGCACCACATATAATGAGATGCAAAGACGTGGGAAGAAAGTCAGATTATGGATCAAAACGCAAACACTTGAAAAAATTATACAAAAATATCTCTCTTAAGAAACCACATTTTATTTTGTCTTCCTGAGGAATCAGCACACAGGACAGATTTTATACTCTCACCGTTATATTTTCTTTTTAAAGAAGTTATTTTTATGTATGTACACATGAACGCACATGGTAAAAAAGAAAAAGACCATGGTATATAGGATGCCTCAAAAATTTTATTACATTTATTTATGTGCGTGGGGGGGGTGCACAAGTGTGAGAGTCTGAGGACAACTTACAGGAGCAGTTCTCTCTGTCCACAATGTAGGTCTCAGGAATGGAACACATCAGTTGATGGCAAGCACTTTTACCTACCAAGGTATCTCACCAGCAAATACTCTAATTACTAGTCATCTATAGTCCCCATTTTCCGTTTCTTTCCTTTTTTAATTAGAAGAGGGGAGGACAGAACCTCACTGACCCAGCTTCCAAGTGCCAGGAGTTCAGGCATGTAACACACACACACACACACACACACACACACACACACACACACACACACACGCTATTCTGGATATTTTTATAAATTAAGAATACGTTCTTCATAAACAACATAACAGTCTTCAAAAATGATCAGAAGCCAAAGATACTGGACCTTACCTAAATTATTCTCCAGGACTGCCTTTTCTCCATCTAATTTTGTTTTGCCATAAAGATTCAGGGGACTTGGTATATCTTCTTCTGTGTAAGGGGGATTTGTGCCATCAAACACATAATCTGAGCTAATGTAGATGAGAAATGCTCCAATCGCAGCTACAAAAAGAAAAGATAAGTCTATTTCATTACTTTTGTTTGGAATGTTTTCTGTTTTGTGGTTTTTTTTTTTTTTTCTTAAACAAAAACACATGTAAGAGAGCTACAAAACTTTCAACTTAAAAACCCCAGGAAGCTGGGCATGGTGATGGCACACCTTTAATCCCAGCACTCTGGAGGCAGTGCAGGGATTTCTTTTGAGGCCAGCCTGGTCTACAAAGCGAGTTCTAGAACAGCCAAGGTAACAGAGAGAAACCCTGTCTCAAAACAAAACAAAAAACAGTGAGTGAAGGAGACTGGGGAGATGGCTGAGCAGCTAAGAACACTGGTTGTAACCCGGGCAGTGGTGGTGCACGCCTTTAATCTCAGCGCTCAGGAGACAGAGCCAGGTGGATCTCTATGAGTTCAAGGCCAGCCTGGTCTACAGCGCGAGATCCAGGACAGGCACCAAAACTACACAGAGAAATCCTGTCTCAAAAAACCAAAAACACTGGCTGCTCTTGTAGAGGATCTGGGTTTGGTTTGGTTCCTAGCACCCACATGGATGCTCACAACCATCTGTAACTCCAGTTCCAGGGGTCTGACGCAGGGACACATATGTAGACACATATGGCACACAGACACACATGTAGACAAAACATTCATAGACATAAAATAATCAGTCTTAAAAAATCCAGTGACGATGTAGCATTACCTGCCTCCTTTGCTAAATTCTCAGAGGCACCCACATTCAGCTGGGAAGCAGCATCTGGCTGACTCTCAACAACATCTGGTCTTCTCTCTGCGGCACAATGTACTATGACATGAGGCTGAAAGATAAACATTGAGTTTTAACTCAAAATGAAAAGCAACAGAGAACTATGGCTTCCTTAGAGTAACTTCAGAGAAAGAAAAGGTTCTAAGGCCAACATTCCTTCAATCAATTAATAATAAGTCATTTAATTTTTAATAGCTTTCTCATATTTCCTTTTTCTTCCTCAAAAAAAAAAAAAAAAACACCACACACACACACACACACACACACACACACACACACACACACACACACACACACACGGTCTGCAAAGAATAGAACAATTTATTTTGTTGGATTTGGTTTTTTTGGGTTGTTTTGGGCAGTGCTAGGGATCCCAGAACCTTGTACACTTTGTACATTTGCACATCACACACTTGGCAGGTATGTAACCCCGGGCTACACCCCTAGCCAAGGTAAGAAACAACTTAGTAATCCCTAGACAAATATGCAGAAAAAGGGTTGGAGAGATGACTCAGTGGTTAAGAGTACCGGCTGCTCTTCCAGAGGTCCTGAGTTCAATTCCCAGCAACCACATGATGGCTTACAACCATCTATAAGAGGATATGGTGCCCTCTTCTGGCATGCAGAACACTCATACATAAAATATAAATTAAAAAAAAAAGATTATTTTTTAAAAATGCAGAAAAAACTATTAGTAACTATATCTATAATCAAAATAAGACTGCTCTCCCAATGTGGTGGAAAAGGGTTATCACGTACATGACTACGACTTATTTACTCATCAGACCCCAGTCCTCACACACACTAAGTGCTCTGCCACTCCAACCCTAGTGTTTAATGACTTCATGACATCAGTTGCAAGTGAAATGTATAAGTTCAAGACTTTCGACCAGTCATTTAACCAGAATCAACTACCTACAGAACCTGTGTGTCCATCTGACCAGAAATGCAGTAAGCCATCATGTTCTAGCTCGTTTCCTATTACTATGGACCAAAACAACTTGGGAGGAAAGGGTTTATTCCACTTACACTTACACACGAAAGTATATCAGTGAAGGTAGTCACGGCAGGAAGTGGTACAGAGGTCAGGGTGCACTGCTTACTGGCTTGCACTCGTTGGTATGTTCAGTCTGCGTTCTTATACAACTTAGGCCCACTCACATCAGTCATATTAGTTTAAAAACAAAAAACAAACAAACAAAAACCCATGGACCAACACGGTGGAGGCATTCTCTCAACTGAGATCCCCTCTCTGCAGATGACTGTAGCTCCTGTCAAGCTGACAACTAACCAGGACACAGTAAGTACTGTGAGAAGAACAGGTCTTCACACTTGAGTGAAAGAGACACATTTAAAGAGCCCCAGATACACCAAAACAGAGTGATGTAGGAGATCTTCAACAGAGAAGGCTTTTTTAATGCAAAAGGAATAGAGCAAGAACCAAGAATGGTGTTAACAGTCAGTGTGCTGGGGGCTGGAACCCACACGATGGCTAACAACCATTTGTAACTCCAGTTTCACCAGGCAGACTTCCTTTTCTGCCCTCTGTAGGCACCACACACACGCATTGCACAGATATACATGCAAGCAAAACACCCATATGTGAAATATTACTTTACACTATGTGAATGTGTCTCACTGTGATTGGATTAATAAAGAAGCTGGCTGGCCAATAGCTGGACAGGTAGAGGTTAGGCAGACAAAAAGACTTGTAGACAAGGAGAGCATGAAGGGGAGGAGCCTCAGAATCACAAAATGTGGAGAAAAGGAGATAAACCTGCTGTACTGAGAAAAGGTACCAAGCCACATGGCAGAGCGTAGGTAAGAAATGTGGGTAAATTTAAAATGTATGAGTTAGCTAGTAACAAGCCTGAGCTATTGGCTGAGCATTTATAATTAATAATATCTCTGTGTGGTTATTTGAGAATGACTGCCAGGACACAGAAAAACTCTGCCTACACTCAACACATAGAAAATAAATAAAAATAATCTTAAAAAGAGAAAGAGAGTGAGAGACAATGAATGCCCACACACCCAATTTCCTCAACAACTGCTCCAGGAGGCATAATCTAAGAATTGTTTTTAAGCTAAATGCGCAGAATCTGGGATGCTTCAAATGCAGCATCCTGGGCCCATCATAGACTTCATACAGTACATTCTTTGGGCATGCAGCCTAAAATCGGGTTTCCTTGGTATTTCTAGTACCCATGCTCTTGGGCCCAGACCTTTAGAAAGAACCAAAGCTAAAATTTGGTAAGGAGAACAGTATCTCAATTTCCCTCTAACTTTCCTTGGATCATGACAAACAGGTTACTGAAATCCCCCTGACTGTACTTTCTTGGCTCTAAAGCAAAAATAGTAAGTTTTTTTCCAGTTTCCAGATAACACCCAAACATTTATAAGGGGATATTATTTGGAAAGCACTGCATAAATACAAGCTGTGCCACTCTACAAGGCTGTACCAGACAGGGAAGAGGATCTGGCTCTGGGGTAGAGTACCTGCCCAGCATGCTGGGGACCCTGGTCCCCACACCTGCACAAGTAAACAAACAAACAAACAAACAAAAAGAAGTGTGAGCTGTACTGTTGCTGCTCAACAGGTTACAGTTTCAAGCACAACTTCCAGTCAGCATGCACACTTTCTGTATAATCCAGAGAACTCTTAGTAAAATGCATATACAACTTCAATATACAAAGTCATACCTGAAAATCATGAATGAGGTGATGAACTGCTTCAGAATCCAACAGGTTCACTTGTTCAAATTTTGGTCTGGCTCTTCGAAAGCCACTGCCAATGGTGTGCCAGTTACTTTGCTGAAATTCTTTGTAAACCGCTCTGCCAAGAAGCCCTGTGGCACCAGTAACTAGAACACGCCGGCTAGGGATGTTTACTTCCTCCTGAAAGCAGAAAGGGTAGCCACAGTTTGAAAATAATTCTCCTAAAGAAATGAAGTGCTGGGCTGGAGAGATGTCTCAGAGGGTAAAAGCACTGGCTGCTCTTCCAAAGGTCCTGAGTTCAATTCCCAGCAACCATATGGTGGCTCACAGCCATCTGTAGTAAGATCTGGTGCCCTCTTCTGGCATGCAGGGATACATGCAGGCAGAATACTGTATACATAATAAATACATAAACCTTAAAAACAAAAAAGAAAGAAAAGAAATGAGGTACCATTATTGTGTACCAAATACCTGAAATCTTTAGGTTTTTGTGTCATTAATGTGTCATTATTGTGACATTAATGTCATACCTAAAAAGTCAGTTTCAAAGCTAGATTAATCAAACTGCATCAACAACTGTATGAGTTAATGAGTTTGTTTTTTAATTATTTTATTTTATGTGTCTGAGTGTTTTACCTGCATGCATGTGTGTGCACCACCTGTGCTGCCTGGGGAGTTCAGAAGAGGGTATAAAATCTCCTGGAACTTGAGCACAGGCAGTGGGCTAACAGGTAGATGCTGGAAACTGAGCCTGGGTCTTTGCAAATCAACAAAGTACTCTTAGCCATAGAGCCATCTTTCCAGCCCCGACTTGATAAGTTTTAATAATCAGTCTCATTGGGACTAGAGAGGTGGCTTAGTGGTTAAGAACACACACTGCTTTTGCAGAAGATAGACAATGAGTGGCTTACAACTATCTATAACTAAAGTTCCAGATCTGGCCTCTGAGAGCAACTGCATTCCCATAAGTAGACACACCCTTTCTCTCTATTAAAAATAAAAAATAGGGCCGGGCGGTGGTGGCGCACGCCTTTAATCCCAGCACTCGGGAGGCAGAGCCAGGCGGATCTCTGTGAGTTCGAGGCCAGCCTGGGCTACCAAGTGAGTCCCAGAAAAGGCGCAAAGCTACACAGAGAAACCCTGTCTCGAAAAACCAAAAAAAAAAAAAAAAATAAAAAAATAAAAAAATAAATAAAAAAAAAAAAAAATAAGAGGCAGGAGAGATGGCTCTGTGGTTAAGAACACTGGGTGCTCTTCTTGATTCCCAGAACCCACATGACTGCTAAAAACTATCTGTAACTCCTGATTCAGAGGATCCGATGCCCTCTTCTGGCCTCTGTGGGCACCAGGCATGCATGTGGTACACAGACATATACACACAGATGAAACACTCATGAATGTAAAATAAGTTTAATTTTTTTAATGAATAAGTTAATAAAAACTAAAATCTCCCAGACTAGTAAAAAAAGAAAGAAAAATTAAAGGAACAAAGTATTAATAATCAAGAAAAAGAACCTAAGAGAAATCATAAGTAACCTCCCCATTTGATTTAGATTTCATGTTAATAATGGGAGTTATTTTGCTTTTTTGACTGATGAAGTGATCCTATCACCTTGACGAGTAGTCAACAAGAATTTCACATCTTCAAAGATATTACGAAAATGCACAAGATTCAGATGATATGTCTCATTTTGATGGGTTTGAAATCGGTCAACATTTCAAAAGAGTTTATTTAAATTAAAATTGATTTGACCCTTAAAGCATATATTCTAAATTTGAATAAACTAACGTATGTCCCTCAGTCAGTACTAAATTTACTTATACAGAATCCTTATGACTAATATACAGACAGTAAAGAAAATTTTAAATTGATCTGTGTTGCTATTGAGAAAAATATTCGTGTTCCAAGAAATTTTAAAAAGCTTAAGAAATAATTTAAATTCTGTATGTTCGAGGCAAAGTTCCAAAATCAAGCAACATTTTCCTGCCAAATTCTCAAGTAAAGCCAACTTTTCCTTTTTTAAAAATAATGTTTTAAAAGCGGGGCGGTGGTGGCGCACGCCTTTAATCCCAGCACTCGGGAGGCAGAGCCAGGCGGATCTCTGTGAGTTCGAGGCCAGCCTGGGCTACCAAGTGAGTTCCAGGAGAGGCGCAAAGCTACACAGAGAAACCCTGTCTCGAAAAAACCAAAAAAAAAAAAAAAAAATAATGTTTTAAGCTGGCATGGTGTCACACACCTGTAAGCCCAGTATGAGCTCCACAGCTGGAAATTTCATTAAAGTTTATCATGAGGACTTATTTCTGTTAAAGTCACCTAACTCTCAACTAGCAAAAAAACTTTTACAAAAGCAACAGCCAAAGACATTTTGAGCCCTAATTTTACGTACGCTAAATGATTTAGTAAATATACATACATTACTTAAGGACACCAAAACCAGGTGTTTCTAACGTATATAAAAGCTGAAATCAAAAGAGGATGGCTGGGGGGGGGGCTAGGGGAGTAGGAAGGCAGTATATAAAAAATACCGAGGCTTTTAATTCAACCAATTTCAAAACATTTTTTTAAAAGTTAAAGAAATTTCATGTGGCAGCTGTAATACCACTTTAAGCCAGGCAATTTATGAAAATGAAGACTCAAGCTGGCAAAATATTTTCTTTGAACTTTGTCAAGAAAATAACTATAAAACAGGTGTGGAGATGATCTTTAATCCCAGCACCCAGGGGACAGAAGCAGGAGACTATCAGCCAACTAAGAATAGTCTGGTCTAAAGAGGAAATTTCAGGCAATTCAGGACCATATAGCAAGACCCTGGCTCAAGAACCACATTTGTGTACACACACACACACACACACACACACACACACACACACACACACACACAGCTGAAATGAAATGGGTCAAAACATGTCAAGTCTAGTAGATTTAGAAAACACTGTACATGTAATAAATACCATGAAGATGCCCGGGGAAACACCATACAAGAAAACACATGGGGCTGGAGGAGGCCCAGAGGTTAAGAGCACTGGCTACTCCTCTGGGGGACCCTGGCTTGATTTCACATGGGGGCTAACACCTGGGACACTAGCACCCTCTTTGGACGTCCAAGAGTACTGCACGCATGTGGTGAGCAAACATACATGCAGGCTAAACACCATACACATAAAATAAAAAATAAATCTAAAAATGTTGCTCTTGTGGAGAATCAGAATTGGGTTCTCAGCATCCACACTGGGCAGCTTGTACCTCTGTACCTCCAGCTCTAGTGGAATTGGACACACACACTCAGTACATATTGGGTACATATCTATATGGTTAGCACACACACATACAAATGTTTTAAAAAGAAAGAAAACTGGGAAGTCTACATGTGTGGTGTGCTCCTGTAATCTAGCACTAGTACTGGTCATTCCAGGCAGGAGGATCCTGAGTTCAAGACAAGGCCCAGATACAAAGACTGGCCTCCAAAAAAAAAAAAAGACAGAAAACCTGAAAGTTTCACACTCACTTTCCACCTCTGTAACATCCCTGAATATCCTTGAGATTTAAGAAAAGATGTCCAGTCGGGCAGTGGTGGCAAACACCTTTAATCACAGCACTCGGGAGGCAGAGGCAGGTGTGTCTCTGGTCTACAAAGCGAGTTCCAGGATAGGCTCCAAAGCTACACAGAGACACCCTGCCTTGAAAAACCAAAAAAAGAAAAGAAAAGATGTCCAGACTGCTTAAGTGGGAAAGGAATTCAGATGGGACTAGCCCATCTTGCTGTCTCCCCATTATACTCACAGGCAGTACTCTTCACAGGAACTAATAAGGGTTGCCTCTCTAGCATTAACTAAGCCAACCCTCAGAGTGACCAGAGTAAATGTCAATTGTACAGGTTGAGACAGCACCAACTGTGTGCAAACCACAGCTGTCTGTACCATTCTGTTGCTGTTTTGCTTTGAGACAGGGTCTCACTATGCAGCCTTGCTTACCTGGAAATCCTCCAGCCTCAGCTTTCAGAGTGCTGGGCTTAAAGCATAAGCCACCATGCCCAGCTACTGTACTATTTTTTAATGGAAAACATTGCTGGGTGTGGTGGCACCATTAATCTCAGTCCACCAGAGGTGGAGGCAGAGGCAGGCAGATCTCCATTGGTTTGAGGCCAGTCATGAATACAGTGTGAGACCCCGTTTCAAAAACAAAACAAAACATGAAAAGCCACCCATATACCCCATCATGCTGAAAAGCAATCATATCTACCCATCACTACTAATTTCCTGAGTGCTGAGATTATAAGCATTCCAGTCAGTTACACCCAGCATACCACTTTCCTTTTAACACATTAAGCTTACATGTGTACATACATGTATGCATGCAGAAAACGGTCACATGCTGTCAGCAGTCTGGAACTATAAATAAATTTGAAAGTTAGCTAAGGCCCAGTCATTTGGAGACAATACTGAATGTACTGTCACCCAAATATAAAAATTTTGCATCAACAGCTGGACGTGGTGGCCCCTGTCTTTAATCCCAGCACTCTGGGATGTAGAGGCAGGGGAATCTCTGTTGAGCCCAAGGTCAGCCCACTCTACATAGTGAGTTTCAGGACGGTAAGGGTTAAACAGACAGAACCTGTTCTAGTTAGGGTTACTATTTCTGTGAGAAAACACAACCAAAGCAAGCTGAGGAGGAAGGAGTTTATTTGCCTTACATTCTCACATCACTGCTCATCACTGGAGAAAGTCAGGACAGGAACCTGGGGGCAGGAGCCCACACAGGCTATGGAGAAGTGTTGCGTACTGGCTTGCTCCCCATTGCTGGCCTGCTCAGCCTGCTTTCTAATACAGCTCAGGACCACCTCCTAGGGAAGGTCCTACCCATAATGGGGTGGTCCCTCTCACATCAATCACTAATTAAGAAAATGCCACGGGCGTTGGTGGCACACGCCTTTAATCCCAGCACCCGGGAGGCAGAGCCAGGTGGATCTCTGAGTTCAAGGCCAGCCTGGGCTATAGAGTGAATCCCAGGAAAGGCGCCAAAGCTACACAGACAAACCCTGTCCCGAAAAACCAAAAAAAGCCCTACAGGCTTGCCTGAAGCCCAATCCTATGGAGGCATTTTCTCAACTGAGGCACCCTCCTCTGCAGTGACTCTAGCTTGTATCAAATTGACATAAAACTAGCCAGCAAAGACCCTGTCTCAAATAAATAAATATTTTTTGGCATTAACAAAACTGACCACCTCCTATCCTTTCTTCTATCTACAAGACAAATTGGTTTGGGAATTCTAACAATCTTATCAACTGTGCTGGATACATACTGTAGGTCAGCGAATGCTAAGGGGCTGGAAACTGAAGGGTGGGTCGGATTTGGGAAGAGGCAGGGGAAGTTTACCAGACACTCCCAAATCTCAGTAGTCTTCCAACAAGGCACGCTTGAAGCCCTAGGGGGCCAAGGGCCAAACAGATCTGTACTGGAATTCCTGCTCAAACCTTACTAAAATAAACTCGAGTGACCCCTTATGCCTGTTTTCTCACCCCGTGAGACTGAGCGTCAACAGTAATCGCATACTGGGAAATACCGACATCCACACAAGTGCCCGAAGTAATGTGCCCCGTGCAAACTCTGAATTCACCACGGTGACAGCCCCCAACGCCGTCATTTATGAAAAGCCACCCTCCCTTCTCCTTAAAGACCCAGGAACACAGAACAAAGATGATGAACCCAGAACTCAAATGGCAACAAGCCCTCGGCGGCGGCGGCGGGGGGCCTCCACCTCCCAGCTTCCTGGCTGCAGCGGCGACCGGGAACCCTGCGGGGAGCGAGGTAAACAAACTCAGAGGCGCCGCCCAGGGCTCCACGCCCCACACCTCACCTCCACCAGCCGGCAGCTGCCGGGAACGAAGTGGATAGAGAGCTCTTTCTCCCGGCCCACCATGCCAGCCGTCTTCGCGCCGCCGCAGTCGCGACCGCAGCCTCCTCCTGCGCAGCACAGCCGGGGGCCACAGCGCCCGCGCCCTTGGCCCTCCTCCCCTAGGCCCTGGCCGACCCGGGCCGCCGCTTCCGGCTTCCGCCGCCATGGCTGCGGCTGTTGATTGGACGCCTCCCGCCACGCATTCAAAAAGGGGCGGGACCTCAGGGGACGCTCTCAGCCCACGTGCCAGTTCTTAAAGAGACAGAGCAAGCACAGGCAGCGACGCCAAGCATTGACTGCAGGCTTCCTTGGGTTTGAGGGTGTAATGTCTTTTAAAATCACTCCGTCTGCTTCTTCCTTCTTAGTGAAAGGTGAAAAGAATCGAGTGGCCTAGAGTTCTAGGTTTGCAGACTGCGAAATGCCTAAGAGCCACCTGTGCATGTATTATACAAAACAGATTCCAACATCTGTAACGTTAGGCGTGGCAACAGCTAAGGGTGTTCCCATCAACACAGCGATAAGGCTGGTTTGGGTTGGTTTTAGGCAGTCTCAAGCTCAGGGAATGATCTTGAACTTCTGATCTTCTAGCTTCCCCTCCTAAGAGCTGGGTTCACAGGAGTGGACGACCAACCCAGGCAAGGTGTGGTTGGTCGATTGTTTTAAGGCAAGGAGAAAGAATAAAAATAGGTGCTGTCCTCTGAGTCATTAACATCTCTGGAACCTACGTTTTTCTGGAATGCTGAAAAAAAAATTGCTGGGAAGTTTTTTTAAAAGTTTAATTATTTTTAGCTAATTAAAAATAAAAAGGTGTGGGAGAGAATATTATCTGGGTACTTTTTAAAAGGCAGATTCTTTTTTTTTTTCCTCAGAATTACAGAACGAGAAACTGAACTGTTAACGAGCCCGGTCTACTTTTAAGTAGATTTAACAGGTGTCCTGACTGCCCTAAGTGGACAATCACTTAGGGGACGCTGCCAGGGGCTGCTCGGTCCAAGTCTTGGAGGAGCTGCAAAAACATAAAATCGAGCCAAGGAAGGGCGCAATGCCGGGCACTCTTCCAAACCTGTGTGGCTGTTTAAAAGCTAATGAGGAACAACGGCCCCTAGTGTCTGACTCAGCATTCAACTGAATTACCTGCAGGTTAAAAACTCCAAAGGACAGCGCCAGCCAAGCCTGTGAAACTTACACTGAAAAAGCCCGCACCCAGGAAAGGACTGGCCCACTTTCTACCTACCCAGCAGTCTGCTCTCATCCAGACAACCACAAGATATTTCAAAACTCGCCCCAAAACGTGACCACTGCCTGGATTTCCCCCAAAGGCCTTATTTTTCACAATTCTGGTTTCTTTTTAAACTAACGATTAAGCTGTCCTTTAGGAAAAGTTTTCGTCGGCTTCCTCCATAACACTAAAGAATTTATTCCTCACTCACGTAATTCTTTGTAAGAGAAAACAAAGACAGCCTGAGGCCCGCCACTTTTCCATTTTTTTTTTCTAATCCAGGCAAAGGCTTAAGAAAGCCTTTACTAAAAGAAAGGGCTACCAAACACTAAATTACAAGAATAATAAGAAAAAGTCCGAAGGAGAGAACAGATTTAAGATCTCTCATCCTCCTTAAAAGTGAGAATGTCTGAAGTTTCTAGTTGGAGTGTGTGAAGGAGTCTCTTTCTAAGGGAGATTATAAAATGTACTCAATAGGAAGATTCAAACATTTCTGCAATTAGCGGTTTGATTTCCGGTACAACCTTGTGAGTGAGTGAGGAAATATTTGCTTGCCTACGCTTAAGAATACGGTTTGACACTTGTCGGGCAAAAGTTGGGCATAGCTCTAGGGGCACATATTTAAGTGCAATATTTAGTCATTTTGCTTAATAAGAAGAAGTTCTATGTTTACAGTCAATGTCCGACTTCCGACGGGGGTCACGTCTTGAGAGTGCAAACTGGAACTGAAAGTCCCATTAGCAGATTCAAGCCCTACAAGACAAAAGCTGGGCATGCACCACGGATTAAATCTTATACCACACAGAACCTGCACCACCACTGCACTGAATGTGGAGAGTGAAACTACCGTTCTGCTTCACATTTTATTTCTGTCGAACTGAGTTTGATTTCCTGGGTCAGAAACCCAAGGTAGTTTATTCTGTGTCTCAAGCGTATGTTTCTTAAGGAAATAAATGGCACCGGCTAGTATTTTCTTTATATCCATTCTGCTCTTACCAGTCATTTTGAATCGCGTTTAAGGAGACCCTGAGGCGAGACTGGGTCTTGAATTGCTAGCTCTTACCTGTTCCATGTCCTCCGGCATTTCAGGCATGATTCCAGAACTATTTTGGGGAAACAGCGGCGAGAGGAATCTCGGCGTCTGGCTTCGCTGGCCGGGTCTTTGTTTGCTCCGCCCGTACCGAGCACACGGACGCCAAAAACGTGAGGCGCAGCTCCGCTTGACCTTTTAAATTAGCATTTCCATTCCAATCCAGGAATCTCGTGCAGCTTTCCACCGTGCAGTAAACTGGCAGCTGATTCCTCCTGCTAGTTTCGAAACTACCCAATGAGAAGTTTCATGTTTAATTGCAAGTCAAGCGAGGATCCGTTACCAAAATCCATATGGCAGAACTATTAAACAAAAACAAACAAACAAAAGCCCTGCAATTTTCCCGGTAGAACTTTTTGATGTCTCTTGTAGAGAGAATGAGTCAGTGGTGGGACGCACGCTGCCATTGATTCCTGTTGTGAAATATTCCACACATTTCACACAACAGTAACAACCTTCAGTAAAATTCCTCAGTGCTTTTCAAAAAATTTATTTTGTGCGTATGAATATTTTGTTCGTATGCATGTATGTGCACCATGTGTACCTGTTGGATTCCCTGGAACTGACGTTAAGGATTGGTTGGGAGCCATTATGTGGGTGCTGGGAATCGAAGCCGGATGCTTTGAAAGAGAAACCAATGATCTTAACCACTGAGCCATCTCTCCTGCCCCATCCCAGGGCTTTTTTAAATTCGACCATTTCAAAGGGCAATTTAAAAACCCTAGTGGTAGCAACACACAAATATAGAGTGCGTCTGGTCATTTCCATGAACTATGTTCTGTTTATATTTAGCCAAGCATTAAATACTACTGCTCAGTCCTTCCCAGACCTGCCCCTAACAACACCAACAGGGTAAGAACCAATTTCTAGGAGTGAAGTTCAGCCAGCTATTTTTAAGTTTCAAGGACGATTTAAGCTTAGTTCAGCTTTGAGCCGCTCTTTGAGTTTATGGCGTCCCAGTATTTTAACTTTAAAATCAACAGAAGCTGGTATTGAAATTGAACTTTGAAATATCTCTCAGCTTCATAGTCTACCCAGAGGGCAGATGGCAGATAGCAAACTGTAGGAGGCAGTCAGAGGATCCACAAATGGTCAAGAAATCAGTGGAGGGGTGGGGAAGTGGGAGGTGTTGACTTTAAATATATATCTTAAAGATCAGCTCTGTCAAAATGCAAGAACTACAGTATCAAGGAATTATAATATAGGGTGATATCTTCAGGCATCTCAGATACAACAGTAAAATTAAAACCAACCAATTTTTCTAATTGATAAATTGAAATTCCTCAAGGTGAAACACTCCTGCTTAGTAAAAGAGACTATTAATAAAACAAATTCAAATAAACTACAGACTGGGAAAAATAATTTCAATATATATACCCCAGAAGGGTATATTCAGAATATTTAAAGAACTATAACTCAATGATTTGAAAAGGCCATTTTTATGATTTATTTATTTTTATGCTCATTGGTGCTTTGTCTGCATGTGTGTCTGTGTGTGAGTGTCAGATCTTGCAGTTACAGACAGTTGGGAGCTGCCATGTGGGTGCTGGCAATTGAAGTGGGGTTCTCAGGGAGAACAGCCAGTGCTCTTAACTGCTGAGCCATCTCTCCAGCCCTGAATTTTTTTTTTTTTTTTTTTGGTTTTTTGAGACAGGGTTTCTCTGTGTAGCTTTGCGCCTTTCCTGGAACTCACTTGGTAGCCCAGGCTGGCCTTGAACTCACAGAGATCCTCCTGGCTCTGCCTCCCAAGTGCTGGGATTAAAGGCGTGCGCCACCACCGCCCGGCTCCTGAATGTTTTTTAATGGACAAAAATTTTACTAGACATCTCCAAGGAAAACACAGGAATGGTCAATAAGCACGAAACACATTGCGCATGGGGATATGCAAATTAAAAGCACATTGAGATATCACTGTACACCTACATAGATGGGCTAAAATTGAAGAGATTTACCAAAATTTAAATGCTAAAAAGCAATGTTCACCTCTGTCTTCTTAATGCTCTTCAGCTAGAGCTGAGAATTAAATTATCATAAGACAAATAAGCTTATTAAAAACATGTTTTACATGGCATAGCAGCCCTAATAAGGCAATAAAGATAAATAAATAAAGGTAATAAGCCCTAATAAAGATCCAAACAATAAGGATCCAATAGTTCAACAATTATACATTGAATTAGACAAAGAATAATAAGCTATGAGCAGCAAAAAAAAAAAAATTACATGGTGAGATTGGCAGTTGGGAGTAATTTTGGTAAGGTTTGCACAACTCTTGGGCTGAACTCTCTTTCATGTTAATAGGAGGGTGGCTTTGCTTCTAGCAAAGCAGTGCATCTCTAGCAACTTCATCTCCTACCTTCAAGAAACAGAAAGATCAGTCATCTTTTTGCACCTGTTTTTTTTTAAGTGTCTTTAACTCAAAACAGTGGATATGTTAATGTGGTTCTTTTGTAACTCCTTGAGTTTTCAACAGTTGGAATACTCACTCTACACTAGTGGGAGTCCAAAAATGATGAAACCATTTGAAAAAAAACTGTTGGCATTCTTAAATGTATGCTGCCCCATCAAAGAGTAATCCCAGTTACAGGCATGGACGCATGAAGAATAAAAGCATATATCCCGTCCATGAAGATTTATACATGAGTATTCATAGCTGCTTAATTCCACTTTTTTTAAATGTTTATTCTTTTTGTGCATGTTCCTGTGGGGGAGGGTCATGGTGCTATGGGGCAGGGGCAGAGGTTAACTTGTAGGAGTCGGTTCTCTCCTGCTATGGGGGACTAGGTGATTGGACTCGGGTCCTTAGGCTAGGTGCCAAGCACTTTGACCCACTGAACCACCTCATCGGCCCCATCGCTTAATTCAAAATGGCACGGAACTTGAAATAAACTAAACAACTGTCAACAGATGAATAGATAAATTCTGGCTCATCCATACTGGGGAATATTACTTAGGAATATAAAGAAATAAACTACAGGAATGAATCTGTCATTTCGCTGACTTTGAGTAAATGAAACTAGGCACAGAGGATGATTCCATGTATGTGAAATTCTAAAACAGGTGAAATTTTCATCTTTGTGGAAGGCATAACCTTGTGTTTGTAGAAAAGTAAGGATTGGCAGTGAAGGCCTACTTTCTGGGGAATGAACCTATTCTTTGTATCAACAGAGTGTGAATTCCAAGAGTGGACACGTTTCCCCGAACTTATGTTAAAACACGTAAGAGCTGTTTATTTCACTCTATTGCTATATGTAGCTTATATCCAAATTATTTATACGGTAGGGTCTCCCTATGAATCCCAGGCTGGCCAGAACTTACATCTTCCTGCCTCAGCCTCCCAAAGTGCTGGAATTATAGGCATGTACCATATGTGGCTACACCTGCATTTTAAAACAATAGTACAATTATATTTTGGATCCTTTAAGTCACAACTTTGAATTCAGTCAACATTTTCTGGGATATTAGTTTGATGTAGTGAGAGCCATTGCATTGATAATCGAGTGGTAAAATAATAGATAACCAATTTCTAAACTCATTTGGATCTGAAAAGATGTCAAAAATCTGTTTTCCTATATAGAGTATGTGTATATTTTGCAGGTTTAAAAAAATATCTTGGGGCTGGAGAGATGGCTCAGAGGTTAAGAGCACTTGCTGTTCTACCAGAGGTCTTGAGTTCAATTCCCAGCAACCACATAGTGGCTCAGAACCATCTATAATGAGATCTGGTGCCCTCTTCTGGCCTGCAGGCATACATGCAGACAGAGCATTGTATATGTAATAGCTAAATAAATTGTAAAAATAAATAAAACTGTTATTTTTAAAAAAATATATCTTTATACTGTTATGATACTCTTGGGGCAAAAATCAATGTTTTCCTTTCTTTTTAAAATTGTTGTGCCTCCACAAAGATGTACAAATGAAATGAGTGAAATCTAACAAAACCTCTTTGAATCTCTATATAGTAGCTCTCACTGAAAAACCAAACAAGGGTTAATGAGGTGAGTTCAATGGGTAAAGGTATTTGCCACCGAGGTGACACCATAAGTTAGATCCCTGGAGAACCCACCCCTACAAATTGTCCACTGGTCTCCAAAAGTGTGCCATGGTACATGCACCTATTGCTTTAGTGATCTTACCACCAATATGCTGGCTAGAAGTGTTCACTCTCTTTGAATATGAATCCTGCTGAATGCTGCCGCTGGCAATTTTAGGCGAGTGTCCAAGGGGAGAACTAATGAACCCAGAAGCTTAACCAGAGACTTGGGGAGCTAGGATCTCACTCTGAAGGCTCATCATTCCGTGCTTTAGCTACCAGCAGCCCTGGTCCTTGGCAGATTCTATAAATGGCTTCTGGCAGCAGACAGCAACAGGCCATGGCGCCTTCTGTTGTTACAACCTTCATAGTTCAGGGTGTTGGGATCCTTAGCCCTATAGTGAAGTGTCACAGGATTTGCACTGACAGTGCTGGATTCCTTATAAGGCCCTTAAGTCTTGGTTGCTCTCTGGTACTCTTCTGGCCATCAGAGTCCACAGTGTCTGCTCAACTCTAATTTTATGGATGTTTTTCCTGCATCTTTGTCTGTGCACCATAAGTGTGTAGTGCCTGTGAAGCCAGAAGTGGCCATGGGATCCCCTGGAACTGAGCTAGACAGTTGTTAGCTCCCATGCAGGTGATGGGAATTGGACCCAGCCCTCTAGAAGAGCAGCTGATGCTCTTAACCACAGAGGCATCTCTTCAGCCCTTCCTGCTCTCATCGCTGCTGATCTGTCCCTTCTGTCTGCTGCTGTCCTGATGCTATTGCCACTGTCACTGCTGCCTTTGCCATCATCCTCTCCTTTTCTAGTACCAGCTCAGTCCACTCTAATGCTTAAAAGTAGCAAGGAAGTGCCATTCAAGAGAAGCCTCTTACTGGACCTTAAGCTTAAACATGGAGGCAGCAATCAATCACAACAGTGCATGAGAACTGTGCCTTGGTTGGTATGAACATTCCTTCCTCTACCTATATGTGTAAGCAAGCTATTCAGCTTTACCTTGAAGGCCAGCCAGGGAATGCTTAGAATACTGGGAATTGCATGGGCTTTTGACACCTCAAAGACCACCCCCAGTGACAAAGATCCTCCAACAAAGTCACACCTTTTAAACCTTCCATAACAGTTCCACCAACGGGTGAGATTCAAATACATTAGCCCATAAGACTCATTCAAACCACCACAAATGGTATGCCCCTAGGGCCCTCATTTCTTTCCAGGAGGCCAACTTCAAAGGATTCTACTTCCCCTCCACACCACAAACTTCACATGGTCTTTTAGAGACCTGCCACTAAGATCCAAATCATACAGTATCCCAGAATCCTTATCAGAGATCCAAAACTGACCAATCTTCTCTGGAGGCCAGACCTCACACTGAGAGCTGTGAACCTAGAAACTTAAATGCAATGGGAATAACAGATCCCAGGATGGCAGGGCCCAGGGATAAAATCAACTGCTAAAGGCAAGATGTAATTTTCACAAAAGACAACAGAGTCAAAAAACAATCAAAATAGTATGACTGTAAACTCACATGTGCTTAGGTAGTTAAAACTTGCTCATGAGTCAGACAGGAACCCTATTGAATTTTCACTTAACCTAAATATGAGCCCAAGAATTTATTCCGTGCGTATCTCTCTCTCTCTCTCTCTCTCTCTCTCTCTCTCTCTCCCCCCCCTCCCTCCCTGCCTCTCTCTCTCTCTCTCTCTCTGTGTGAATGTGGGTGGGGGAACTGGGTGTGATCCTCTATCACTCTTCATCTGATTGTTTAAGGTAGGGCCCCTGAACCGGGGGCTTGCTGTCTCTGTCACTAGGCCAGGAGCCAGTGAGTCCTAGTGATCTCCTGTCTCCACCTGTCTCAGACCTGAGGTGTCAGGCATGACCAGATGCCTAGCTTGTTGCATGGGAACTGAGACTCAAACTCTGGTCCTCATGATTGTGCTGTAAGGACTCTTCATCACTGAGCCCTATCTTCAGTCTCACAAATGATACTCTGTAGATAGTGTCAGCACAAAGCTAGTAGTCTACCAAAGATCTATTATGTTTTCTTTGTGCATATTTGCTATGATTAAAGGTTATAAATCTCCACAGAATACTAGAGGAAAGACGACTAATATAAATTTTCAATGTTTAGACCAGGCTAGCCTTGAACTAACTTATCCGTCTGCCTCTGCCTCCAGAGTGCTAGGATTAAAGGTGTGTGTCACTAACCCTGGCATAAATAAACCTTGAAAAGAAATAAATAAGAGGTATCATTTATGATTCTGGGGACAAATTCGGAGGGGAGATAGACACAATTAAATACATCTTAAATAGAAGCAATACTGTAACTTCATTAAATGAAAGTTGAATCACTGTATGGGTGTTATGAGTTTCCATGACTTTATTCTATATTACACACACATTCAGAGAACATGCAGGTGACACATTCTCTAAAAGTCTAGTATGTACAGTTTTTCAGATTTCCTTGAGCCTGGGCATGGGGTACTTTGCCTTTAATCCTAGCAATTGGAAGGCAGAGGCAGGTGGATCTCTGAGTTCAAGGCCAGCCTCATTTACAGAGTGAGTTCCAGGACAGCCAGAGCTGCACAGTGAAACCCTGTCTCAGACAAAAAAACAAAAACAAAAACAAAAAACAAACAAAAAAAATTATTTCCATTCTATCTAAAAATTAACAGACTAATCTTTAAAAAATGTAGGTTTATAGGCCAAGATACATGTTTTAGTTTAGAACTAGAACTGGGGTACAGCCAAGGAATCTGGAAACGATTAAATAACCCAGTGACTTTGATTTAAAAACACAAGGTTACTTTTACTGAGTTAAAGGTGCTCTTATTCCTATGGGAAGTGACAAGGAGACCAGAATGAGCATGATGAGCCAATCACAGCAGACGCAGGAGCAAGGCAAAGTGCTTGAGCCTTTCCACTCTTCATCAGAATTCAAAGAACTCTAAAATCAAGCTAAAAACATTGGGGGAAGAGGGGGAAATTTTTAATACTGATCTTTAAAAAAAAAATGTTGATTTTTATGGTAGTTCAATGTAAGCTGGAAAGCAAATAAGGTGGTTCAGAACGAGATGATAAAGGTAAAGATTAAGGAGATACATAATGAAAATAAAATGTCAAAAGACATTTCCATAACAAATGCTGAATGTCCTTTCATATACCTAAGAATAGGCAGTAGAAATTGAATATATTATATAATATATACTATAAACATAATATCAGGAATAATGAAGAAAATAATCTTCAACAGGTATTTCAGACATATACTTCCATGATCCTTGATGTTGCATCAGAATTCAGCAGCAGTTTGTGTTGCCTGAAAAGAAAATCACAAAGAGCTATAAGTAGTCTATATTAAAACTACTAACCAATGATCCAGGCTATGGCTGTAGCTCAGGTACAACACTTGCCTAGCATGTTGAAGGGCCAAGATTCAAATCCTTGAAAATCAAACCAAACCAAACTCCTAAGTCATTTAAACTAAAACCAGACCTATGTTCTTGAAGACAGAGGAATCAATGTTTATATTCTGTACCATACTATAATACATATACATGTATTATATGAATACACACACACACACACACACACATATACACTATTGCAAGCAATTAAGGCTTAACTGAAATATAGAGAAAAATTATTTCTCTAAAATTGAAATTTAAAAAATTTTTATGGAGCTAAGACAGTTAGGTTACACTGCGAGCTGTGTAGAGGGATTGGCCTTTGGCAAGCCACATGCAGTCCAGAGGAGATAAGGAGGGATGCTAGTAGGAGCAATAAAGACTTCAAGGAAGATGTAGTCTGAATGGGGCTTGAAGGACAGGGGATCTAGATAGACAGAAGCAGAGGAAAGGAGGAAAGCGGCATTGATATATCTTCTATATTAGAAAATACCAACAAAGTTTCAGTTTATAAAAAAGTTAAATCACCAACTGCTGTGAAAGCAAAAGAGACAGACACAGAGAGAGAATGACAGGTACATAAATATACTTTTTTATTTTATTATTATTATTATTTTACCTTCTTTTAATGGGGTTTTGGGGACAAAATTCTCTTTACATTCATGCTGAAAAGCCTTGGAAGGGTCGAAGTGTTTGATGCCCAGAGCTTTATTCAATTCTCCCTGAAGTCTGAGCTCATTTTGTTTCCTTTTAACAAGCTGAGATCGGAGTTTTGATACCTCCTAAGTAAGAAAAATATAAATAATCACTAAAGCACACAGTGGTAAAATGTGTCATCATTGTTGCAAACATGTTGTTCGAATCTTCAATGGTCTTATAATAAAAAACCCAGAGCCAGATTATCAGGGTGAAAGCTGAAAGAGTGGAGAACAGCCAGCCACTAGTTCTTACCTCTACAAAATCTTCAGTCTAAAGAGAATGAGTTCCTGTTTCCTCTTGCCTTATATACCTTTCTCTGCCATGCCATATTACTTCCTTGGATTAAAGGCGTGTGTCACCACTGCCTGGCTGTTTCTCTCATGTAGCTCAGTGTGGCCTTGAACTCACAGAGATCCAGACGGATCTCTGCCTCCTGATTGACAGGATTAAAGGCGTTTGCCACCACTGCCTGACCTCTATGTCTAATTTAGTGGCTGGTTCTGTCCTCTGATTCTCAAGCAAGCTTTATAGGGGTACACAATATATCACCATACAGACATATCCAAAATGTTGCTTATGTATGATAGCTAATGGCAAAAATAACTATTACATATTCACTAAGACTGAATTACAAAGTGATTTGGAACAGCCCATACATAGCAAACAAAGCATTTTAAACTTTCTTTTCTTCTACAGTTATGAGTATACTTTTCTGATCAAAAGTGAACTGAAAATAATTTGTCTCCAAATCAACTTTCAGCTTGACAGAGTAACAGGCTTCCTAGTAAAACCAAAGAGTATAAAAAGGCAACCAATTATGTTCTTCATCTAGAAATTGTCCTCCTGAAAGTATAATAACAAAGGAAGAAACATGTAAAACTTGATACAGTCTTCCAACTCTAGCGGCAATTATAAAGCCAAGCAAAACTGAATATCCATCTGGTCAACACTGAGTAAGTCCATTCATTCTCAAGTGAATTCTCCCCAATAAATTGTTAATTTTTTTGGTTGTTAGTATATCTGAATATAAGTGTTATTTTACAAACCGATTTGAGTTGGCTATTTTCATCTTTCAATTTCACAACATGCTTGATTTTTTGCTTTAGGTTCTGGTGACCCAGCAGCTCAGCATATGAATCTCTGATTTTATTTAGCTGTTCCTGAGTTGCACCATGTTCATTCAACAATGCCTGCTTCTCTGCTTCAAATGCATCCAGTTGTTGCTGGAAAAGATATATATATATATATATATATATATATATTTATGTTTTTAATGAAACTAAGACTTAAAATTGTTGAACTTGTGCATCCTTCTGCTTCTGCACCAACACTAGTAATTAAAAGCATTTGCAACCATGTTGGGCCTAAAACTTTTAAATCTTATTAAGTTCATATAAAGCATAAATAAAAATAATATAACAAGCAGAACTCCCACTTTTCTTGAAGGCTGTATAAATTCAAGAAAATCTTTTAAGCTTTGCATTTTTTTTATCTTAAGTATCATCAAAAGAAAAGCAATAGAGTCAGCAGCTTTCTTAATCTATCAGCAAAATATCAACTTTATAACCAATATCTGCTTCCATTCCCTTTTTCTTGTTTGTAGGCTTTTTTGTTATTGTTTTTCAGATAAGGTCTATGTAGTCCTGACTATCCTGGAACACACTATCAGGGTGGCCTTGAACTTTATCTATCTGCCTCTGCCTCCTGGGTGCTGGGATTAAAGCATATGATACCATGCCCACTACCTTTTCTTTATAAAAAGATCAGGGTATTGCCAATGTAGTGGTCTATCGCTATAAATTCAGCATTCAGAAGGCAGAAGCAGGAGGATCAGGAATTCAAGGCCATGTCCAGCTACACAGAAAGTTCCAGGCCAGCCTAGGGTCTAAAGAAAACAAAGACAGTCAGACATGAGGCTGATACTCATAATGCTAGAACTTGGGAAGTAGGAGGAGCACTTCAGATCCCAGGCCAGGCTGCTTGGCACATTGAGTACAAGGTCAGCTTGGGTTATAGAGCAAGACTCCATCTAAAAACCAAAGGATGGGGCTGGAGAGATGGCTCAGAGGCTAAGAGCACTGACTGCTCTTCCAGGGGTCCTGAGTTCAATTCCCAGCAACCACATGGTGGCTCACAACCATCTGTAACAAGATCTGGTGCCCTCTTCTGGCCTGCAGTCATACATGCTGTATACATAATAAATAAAAAAAAAAAAAACCAAAAAAAAACCCAAAGGATGAACTACAGTACAAAAATCAGGACAGTAACTTGAGAAATACTGAGATAGAGCATATCAAAATACACACCACAAAGTCAGGTGAATGATTGATGTTCCTACCAGGAGAGCCTTCAGGACTATTAATTTCAAGTTGTTTATTAGAAAGCACTTATGTCTACTAAATTTGTCAATTGTATTTCAATAAAGCTAGAGAAATTATAAATCACAATATTTAGCCTGTTACTTTCGGTTTCATTGTTTTTATGTAGTGCTGGGAATTGAACTCTGGGCCTTGTACGTGCCAAGCACACTCTACTTGAGTTCATCCCAGACAATTTTTTTTTTTTTTAAAATTTCAAGACAGGATTTTTCTGTGTAGTCCTGGCTGTTCTGGAACTCAATCTGTAGACCAGGTTGGCCTCTTAACTCAGAGATCTGCCTCCCTCTGCCTCCCAAGTGCTGGGTACCAGATAAAATTTGAAAACTGTTAATATGCAGTTAAGTTGTAAGCATGACTACATAGTGAAGAGATACCGCAGAAGGACCAGTCACAGTCAAGACTAACAGGGAAGAAATGCATTCTTAAAAAAGATCCAAGTAAGCTTATTTCTTTATTTTTACTTTATTTCATGTACATGGGGATTTTGTCTGCATGTATGTCTCTGCACCACCATGCCCACGGAGACCGAAGAAGGTGTTGGATTCCCCCGTAACTGGAGTTACAGCCAGTTGGGAGCTACCATGTGGGTGTTAAAAACTGAACCTGGGTCCTCTGGAAGAGCAGGTAGTACTCTACCACTGAGACATCTCTCCAGCCTGCAAAAAGTTTAATTATACTTTCTTTTTAAAAAAAAAAAAATTAAGAATAGGCTGGGAGCAGAGAAGTAGCTCAGTGGAAGAACACAGTATATATGAGGACCTGGACTCAAAGGCCAGTACTGTCAGAAAATAAATAAATTGAAAAGGAAAGGAGAGATGTGAGTGTGAAACAGATCTCTAGGTTCCTGGGAAGAGCTTCCTCTGAGCTTTAAATCTGGTGCCCTGTATCTGATATGAGTTTCAACATTGAAGCTGGGCAGAGAAATGGCTCAGGAGGTAAAGGCCCACTGTCAAGTCTGATGACCTGAGCTCCTTTACCAGAACCCACAGTGTAGACAGAGAGAATGAATTCCTGCCATTTGTCTCCTGACCTCCACAAAAATAATAATCATGTACACACACACACACACACACTAATAAAAAAGGTAAAACATTTCAAAACATATCTGTTTCCTTGGAGATGACTTTAGCTTACACTTCTGCCAGGAGCAGTCGTGCACACACCTTTGGTCCCAGCACTCGGGAGACAGAGGCAGGTGGATGTCTGTGAGTTTGAGGCCAGCCTGGGCTACAGAGTGAATTCTAGGACAGTCAGGGATGTTACACAGAGAAACCCTGTCTCAACACTGCCTCCAAAAAAAGAAACACTGCTATGTGTTACAAAATAAAGGCTTCAGTTTTCATACACACATGTAACTTGTTCAAAATAGGCATTTTCTACTAAGGATCCATTCTAGTCAGTATTTTCGTGGCATATCTTTGGGTTCTTTATGATAAACTAAAATAACAGACCTCTCCAACTCGATGTATTTACATATCTCTATCTGTATAAAGTAATGATTATAAATGCTTGTTTAAAAAGGGGAAGTGCAGCCGGGCGGTGGTGGTGCACGCCTTTAATCCCAGCACTCGGGAGGCAGAGGCAGGCGGATCTCTGTGAGTTCGAGGCCAGCCTGGTCTACAGCACGAGATCCAGGAAAGGCGCAAAGCTACACAGAGAAACCCTGTCTCGAAAAACCAAAAAAAAAAAAAAAAAAAAAAAAAAAACAAAAACAAGAAGTTGCAGATTTTCAACACTGTACACAAACTCCTTTGTTACAAATAGGTATTTATGCTTCTAAAAAACAAAGGTTTAATTATAAGAACAAACCTGAAAAGGTTTAGTCTTGTTATACAGCTCTTCGTAAAGGAGACGCCACTTGTTACTTTCCACAGTTAATTCTGTCACTGCATTTTCTTTCTCTGCTTTTCTGTATGGGGAAATTAAATTAAAAAAAATCATCTTTTTCAATTTATTAGAAAAAACCCAATGCATTATATGGCACTCAAGGTCTAAGCCAGAATTACCTCGCTTCCTCCTCTTCAAGTTGCTTCTTAAAATCTTCATCCTGTTGTCTGAGTTGATTTTGCAAATCAGTTATTTTCTTAAGAGACGAAGATGTGATTTCTTTAATTTCTGCTTCTTTCAATGTTGATCTGTTCTGCAGATCTAGAAGCATCCTTGGATTTGAGAAAAAAGAATCCACTAAACATCTGATAGACATTTCAATTTTTATCCCTTTCTTTTCGGAAAAAAAAATACAAAGCAATAGAAGAAATTCTTAAAAATTATAATCCTGACTGGATGTGGCAGGATTTGCCTTTAATTGCAGCACTTGGGAGGCAGAGTCAGGCAGATTCTCCATTTGAGGCCAGCCTGCACTATATGGCAGGTTCCAGCCAAGACTACATAGTGAGACCCCGTCTCAAAACAAAACGAAAAGTTGTAATTTTTTTCTTTAACAGAGCATTTGTGTTACTCACCTTGCATATTCTTGATTTGTGCTCTCAGCTGTCAATAGCTGGTGTTGAACATCTTCTACACCTTTTTCAGCCATGGCTACTTTTTCTTGTAGAGTCAATTTCTCCAGCTTAAGATCTTCTATTTCTTTAAGTGTTGATGCTTTATAGCTTATTAGAAAAAAAAGTGAACACTTTTTCTTACTACTGTATACATAACGAAGTTTAGATTTTATATACTTCTTGGCAGAAGAAAAAACTTTATAATATATTCATGTACTCACACAGGTAAGAATTCAGTACTCTGAGGTTAAATAATAATGTTTACATAATATTTTCTATTCGACATATGTGCAGTGTCCAAAGATCCAGAATATGACATCTGATACCCTTAAACCACACATACGGCTGAGACACCATGTGACGTTGGGAATTGAACCTGGGTCCTTTGGAGGAGCACTTGGTGCCCTTAACCACTGAGCCATCTCTCTAGCACCCTTGACCTTTTGTGAAAAAAGAAAATAGGGCCAGGATGTGGTAGCATACACCTTCAATCCCAGCACTTGGGAGGCAGAGGCAGGTGGATCTCTGTGAGTTGAAGGCTAGTTTGGCCTACATAGATAATTCCAGGACAGTCAGAACTACACAGAGAGACTCTGCCTCCATCCCCCCCCCACTCCCCACCCCCCCCACCCTCCGCCAAAAGGAAAATAGGAAGTAGATGCGGTAGGAGTACAATATGAAATAACTATATGAAAATTACATTATCCCAAGATTATTCCAAGAAGATGGACTGTGAGAAGAATAGAATGTTATGCTAGGAAAGTGCTGGGAATGAGTGCTCTTGGGGAGGTAAACAAGGTGACAGGCAATGGACTTGTTTTCTTTTTCAATTTTTGCATTTAAAAATGATTGCACATCAAAATATATTCATATTGACTGAAAACATTTCTAATTTTCTCTTTTTCATTCCAACATAGGATCACACTATATTGGACTAGAAATCACTGTGTAGCTTGGTCTGGCCTCAAACTTACTGTAATTCTGCTTTAAAATTCTCAAGGGAAAGAGTACAGGTGTGAGCCACCAACCCTAGCCAACAAAAATTAAGAGACAAGGAAGAAATGATACTATATGGTCACTGAAGGCTAAAAAGACTAAAATACTAGCTTCCACACACAGAGGAGCACTCCTGCAATACCAACACTCAAAGCTAAGGCAGGACTGCCATGTGTTTGAGGCCAGCCTGGGCTATAAAGGTAGTACCAGGCTAACCAGTGCTATCATAGCAAGAGTATCTAAGGAAGAGGGGTAACGGTTGCAGGAGAGGGAAAGAAAAGCAACAAAGAAACTTAAGACTAAGAAATTATTAAATAGTCAGGGAGATAGGATAAGTTTACGTGCTCCTAAGTCAGATGAAGACAGAAAAGCCTTTGATGTTTTTCTCAAAAGATGCTATCAGGAAAGTAAGATAGTGGTGCTAATGGTTGGTTTTAGTTTGAACGGGATGGTAGGAAAAGGAACATTTACATAAGTACAGGAAGATTACCAGATGACACTAAGTGCCCATTTACAGCTGGTCATCACGGAATTTAAGGTAATGGCAGTCATCTCTATGGATTGCTTTGTTCTTAGATTTCTGTAGGTAAACACTTCTCCCCACTCATATATTCCATAGTGAACACTACAAAGAAAGATACCTTTCCAATTGAGCAGTAATGTCTCTAAGATCTTGCACTGTATCATTATACCTCTCCTGTAAAGTCAAGGTGTCATGGATGTGAGCAGCATTAGTTTTCTCCAGCTCAACTTCTTTCCTAAGAACAAGAAAAAATGACAAAAGATCAGAAATTGTGCACCATATATCTCATACAATCCTTCACAATAGCTGGCATGTAATTTAAAGACATACATTTATGACTTAATCTCATAGCATGATGGTTTTACTAACTTATTTACTGGCTTCTTCTATATATACTTTCTACTGGATTTCCTTTCATATCTCCTGCAGTATGCAGGCAATTTAGAGGAAAGAACAACAAAAACCAATGTTACAGAATAGTCAGGTCTAAAGGTTGAATGTGGGGCTGGAGAGATGGCTGAGAGGTTAAGAGCACTGACTGCTCTTCCAGAGGACCCGAGTTTAATTCCCAGCACCCACATGGCAGCTGTCTATAATGCCAGTTTCAGGGGACCCCGACACCCATGGCAAAAACACCAATGCACATTAAAATAAATAAAGACTGAATGCAATGCCAGCTAAAAGCACCTAGACTTAATGAAGTTTAATTCCCTGTATTGAGATAATAAATACTACATAAAGTTAAAGACACTTCACATTAAAAACTCCTTTAAAAGGTAGTTATAGTACTAATGTGTATTTTTGATTATATGATTAATCCATATATGCCATTATTATTCAATTTTGTTTGAGATAAGATCTTGCTATATTTAGCCCAAGCTGGCCTTGAGCTCAGGATCCTCTCAGCCCACCAAGTGAAAAGATAGCACATGCCCAACACTCACAAAATCTTCAGTTTGTACAGTAACAAAATAGGTTTTAAGTCGTTTTTTCTAAATGTATACTACAGATTTTAAGTATCTTTTTCAATATTGCATATTATTAAAATGCTGTAAGGTCTAGCCAGCCGGGGTTCTCAAGGGGCATTTGGGCCTTGTTATGATAAAGAAATACGTGGTGGAGAAATGGGAGAGGTAGAAGTGGGGGAGTGGCTCATGCACTGTGGAAAGATGCAGAAAGAAGAAATGAAGGTGAGGCGTGGGCAGATGCTGGAGGCCTGCTGCTACCTGAGGCCATGGTGAAGGTGGTGAGGAGTAGACTGAGGAGGGAGGCCTGCTTGCTACCTGGGGCCATGGTCATGTCCAGGCTGGGCAGCTGCCAAGGGCCATGTCTGGGTCCCTGGTCCTACAGTAGCCAGGGTCTGTTTTGCTGTCCGTGGCTCCTATTGGCCATCAAATACCATGCTAATTCTAGTGGACTGGGGTGCTTCCTGGGGCTGTATTTGAGCCCATAAACCACATTGCCACTGGGGCTGAACCGATCTGGGAGACCTTTGTCACCACAATGGGCCATGGGGACAACCAGACCCACACTGCTGCTGAGGACCATAACTGGGTCCATGGTTCTACCACGGCTGGGGTCTGCTGAAATCTGGGTCCTGATTGCCACCAACGGTCATAAAGAGGCCTAGAGCTGGAGCCGCAACCTGAGGTCTTGGTGGTGTCCAGCAGCCATGTGGCCGCCTGAACCATCACTACCTGTGTGGCCATTCCTTCTACCCAGAGCCAGGATGTCCTCTGAGCCCAAGCTGCTGCACAGGGCCATGTCTGGGTCCAGGTCCAGCTGCAGCTGGGGTATATGTTGATGTCTGTGGCCCCATGTCACCTCAGGAGGCCTTAGGAACCATGTGAGATGAAGTTAGAGGGCCATGCTGAGCCAGCCCTGCCCTTCACTGGCCCTGGGAAAGCTAGCCTTGCCTCTTACTGTACACTACAGCAAGAGAGCTGGCCCCTGCATTCAGGAGAGATGGCCCAACCCCTCAACAAAGGTGAGGGTAGACCTACCCTGAAGGTATACATGTAGGGGAGCTGACTCCACCCCCTCATTGGAGGTAGGTGGCCCCAATGGCCTGGACTGACTAGTTTGGCTATCACACAGGCCCACAACTGGGCCTTGGGTTGTCCCATCCTATCATCTACCCCATCTAGGACCTGCTGGAATTTGTAAAGGGGACCAGTCCTGTGATACCCGTAAGACCTCTAAGACTTGGGGTGGACATAGGATATCCCAGAAGAGTTTCAGTGAGGATCCAGTGATGATGGTGTACCAGAAACCAGAGGCCTTGAACCAGACCAGTGACTCATTGCAATGAACATTTGCCAGTATAGCTGATGGGACAAACAGGTATACTATATGACACACCAAATCCTCCAATGCCACCAGGACAAATGAAGAGGTGTTGGAGAGGCAGCAAAGAAGAAGCAAAGAGATTTTTTAGTGGTTGTTTTTGTTTTTGCTTTTGTTTGCTTGCTTTATTTTGATTTCTTTTGTGGGGGGCATAGCAAGGATGAGGAGAGGATGTGGGGGGAATCGAGAGCTGAGCAGAACTGGGTGATGATGTGAAACTCCCAGAGTTAATAAAGAAGTTAAATAAAAAAATGCTCTACCATGTTTGGATAGGATATGAGTTTATGAAGGGTCTTTAAAATATAGTGAAGTAAAAGTAAGCACTGCTCAACTCTAAGTGGAACAGTCAAATAAGACAGAGCAGGTCACTGCACAGTGAGGGCCACAGTCAAGTAAGACAGAGCAGGTCACTGCACAGTGAGGAGACCACAGTCAAGTAAGACAGAGCAGGTCACTGCACAGTGAGGAGACCATAGTCAAATAAGACAGAGCAGGTCACTGCACAGTGAGGAGACCACAGTCAAATAAGACAGAGCAGGTCACTGCACAGTGAGGGCCACAGTCAAGTAAGACAGAGCAGGTCACTGCACAGTGAGGAGGGCCACAGTCAAATAAGACAGAGCAGGTCACTGCACAGTGAGGAGGGCCACAGTCAAATAAGACAGAGCAGGTCACTGCACAGTGAGGAGACCACAGTCAAATAAGACAGAGCAGGTCACTGCACAGTGAGGAGACCACAGCACAAACAACCAAATGCTACTATGTGGTTTGTAATAAAAATATTTTTCCTTGTCCCTGAGAAGAGTGACTTTCAGTTTTTGTTTTTTAATGTAAGCCTAAAATGTCTAGTCTAAGAAGGACCTTAGAGGACAGCAGCTCACACGGCACCTAATGAAGAGAATATGAAGGCATCAAAGCCACTTCTCTCGGAATTGCACAGCTAACTAGTCAAGCTAGCAAGTAAAGCTCTTGTGAAATCAGAACCCCCTTTAGAAAATGGGTTATCTACTCAACTTTTCCAGGCTCCCATTCTTCAAAACCAGTTGCAATTTAGAACAATGCCCACAACACCATTGTACTGCTCCCCGAAAGAGGGTACACAAAACCCTGGGGTGCCTCTTTTTCATGAATCACAAAAAATCCCAGAAGAGATTATTGAGCACTCAACAGGGGCAGGCGTAAGACACAGGTTCATATCCCATCCACAGCAGCTTGCTACCTTGATGGGATTTCAGGAACTTAAATGATAAGACTTATTTGTAGTTTAAATTCAAGAATCAAATTGCCAGGACCAGATAAAGAATCTGCTGTGTAGCCTTATGACCTGTGTCTGTCCCTGAAAGCCATGGTAGAGAGGACTGACTCCTGAGATTTGTCCTCTGATCTCTACCCATGCCTGACTCACAGATACACATACCACATATACCTGCCCACAGTAATATATTTAAAAATATTTTTATACATTTAAAAATATGTAAATAATAAAAATTAAAAATAAAAGAATAAAATTGCTAAATTTTAGTTCAAATGCATGTGTTGGAAAATAAAGCTATAATAGTACTGAAGTGATATGAAATTGATATAAAATTGTGAGACATTAGTTTTTCTTTTAATAAGAATGTTGTTTTTGAACACTTACCAGCAAATTATGATTGTTCTAATTTTTTTTTTTTTTTTTTGAGAGCGGTCCATTCTACAACATTGGCTGGCCTCAAGCTCAGGACCGTCTTCTTGCCTCAGCCTCAGAAGTGTTGGGATTACATTCATGAGCCACTATGACTTGGCCCCATTTTATTTTCTGATTGTTCTATGAGGCAAGACCGGCCGAGGGGGTAAAAGCACTTGTCAACCTTGGTGATCTGAGTTACATCCTGTGGACCCCCACATGGTGGAAGAGAAGCAGCTCCTGAAAGTTGTCCTCAGCCAGGCGGTGGTGGTGCACGCCTTTAATCCCAGCACTCAGGAGGCAGAGGCAGGAGGATCTTTGTGAGTTCGAGGCCAGCCTGGTCTACAGAGCAAGATCCAGGAAAGGCGCAAAGCTACATAGAGAAACCCTGTCTCGAAAAACCAAAAAAAAAAAAGTTGTCCTCTGACCTCTACATGTATGCAGTCATGTGTGCCTGTCTATGTGTATGTGTACACATGCATGAATCAATGAAGTGTTTGTAGTCGCTCAAAAAAAAAAAAAAGCTATTTAAAAAATTAAAAGGCTTAGATGTTTTCAAATCTAAAACACTGCTTTACTGCTAGTGTCCAAAGACTTTTGGAAAATGGAGTAGCAAAGAAGCACGCAAACTAAGTTTTTGGCTTTAGAAAAAGGGCTCCCGCCGGGCGCACGCCTTTAATCCCAGCACTCGGGATGCAGAGCCAGGTGAATCTTTGTGAGTTTGAGTCCAGCCTGTTCTACCAAGTGAGATCCAGGACAGGCTCCAAAGCTACACAGAGAAACCCTGTCTCGAAAAAACCAAAAAAAAAAAAAAAACCCAAAAAACAAAAAAACAAAAAAAACTCCCTTTTGTTCTTTTTTTTTTTCTTTTTTGAGGCAAAGTTTCACTATTATGGCCCAATACCATGAACTCAATGTGCAATCAGATGAACTTCAAACTCATCATCCTCCTGCCTTAACCTCTTAGGTCCTGGGAAATAAAAGTGTGCTAGGCAACACTTACTTTGACTGCCATACCTGCTTACATATGTATGTGTGTAGTGTTAAGTGTGTGAGCATATGTATACTCTTACCATGCCTTCCTCTGTATCCTTCCTTAACTTGTAAGAGAATCCCAGCCTCCTATGCACATACAGAGGTGACATGAGAATTCTAAGCAAACAGTTTACAGTTCAAGTCCCATGTAACAAGACCCTGTTAATACGCACTCTCTCAGCAGTTCGTCCAGCCGTTTTAGTTGCTCAGCGGTTGACCTTGCCTCCTCCTCCAGCTGTTTAACCAGCCTTTCACTCTGGTCCTCCTTCTGCTGCACCGCATCCAGCTCCTCCAGGGCAAGCTTTAACTCTTCTCTAAGGACGTTCTTCTCAGAAGCCATTTCCTCTTGAAAAGAGCAGAGCTGCTGCTGAAGACGAGCAGACAATTCCTGCATTCAGACAGGCAAGCACAAGCTGATTAGACGAGGCCTCAGGACCTCTCTTGGAGACAAGAAATGCCATACGGATAATGAAGTATGGCAACTAAGTTAGAAAGCTGAAAGGACACACAAAACATACATTCCACATTCACTTGCTCCATATTTTATAATTTAGCAGTGTGGAAAATGCAATCTCTAGCTTTTTTAGTGTAAACCATCACACCGATTTCTTTATATCTGCTTTACAATTGGCTTATGTGCATACTTCAATCTACTCTATTCAAATTATAAAAGGATATTATGATCTCACTGTTACATAAAATACACATTTCAAAGTTTTATAAAACATTATCATTGAGAAAAAAAAATCTAGATTTTAAGTGAAGTGAGTATTAGTTTTCACTAGTCCCTATCCCAATTTGTTTTTCCTTTCCAGAGATAAATTTTGGGTTAGAGTACATATTGCCCATATATTTTCATACATGTATACATTGGGGAGGAGTCTATGCTATATTATCTGTAAATGTAAAAATATTTTTAAAATCATAGAATTAGTTGAGATCTTTCTAGGTCAGTATATATTAACTTACTGAACCCCTTTCATTGCCTGTTGCCCCAAAATACAGTATCACATTACTGCCATGTCCATTCCTACTGAGTCAACCTTCACCAAAGTCTAATGGTGAAATGGTTTAGTTTCTGGACACCTTGTTAATAAAGATCTCTAATCCACTGATTACTGCAGAGAAATCCTCTTTTCAGGTTTACAAACTATCAGAATGTTGTTAAAATTATCTACTTCTATCCCATGACCATGTTTTTTTTGTTGGTATTTTCCAGTGGGCTTTTCTCCCCTCACTGATATGTAAAATGTTCTTTATGTAACTTGCATGTTCAAATTGCTTTGCTTTTTTCCTATTGCTAGACATTCTTTTTAAGATAATTATAAATACCTAGCCTGTCTACTTGAAAGAAATGTACACCAGTATCTGTGGCTAAATGTTCAAAGTAAAACCACAGAGGTTTTCTGACATAAAGGAAAAATGATACTTAAATAAGTAGCTTTTTTAAAAAACAAAAATAAATGTAATTGACTACCTTCTCTTGTTGCAGAAGTGACTCAATTTGCAATTCTTTTTGTTGCAGCTTTTCATATTCTTGTTTTTCCAGAACAAGCTTCTCTGTTACAATCTGGATCTCAGCACTGAGACTTTCAGCCCTTTCTCTGTCCTTGTTGACAAGATCGTCTATAAAAGGAAAGCATGAGACATTCCAGAACCAAATACTAATGCTAAGGGACTCAGTTTACCGAATTTCACCCCACTGCTTTAGCACACTACACAGAGAGGGGGAAGATTATAGTCATTACCTTATCACATATGCTACACAGATACGTTAGTGTTGAGTCTGCACTAATTACGAAATGGCCACCCACAGTAGAAGTCATCAGCTACTATAACTACTTCCAATCAAAGAATATAATGTGTTGAAATAAAAACAAACATTATAGCATTATAAAACTTCCCAAATACAGCACATGGGCTTTTGGTATTCACATAATTATGAAAAATGTCATACAGCCGTGCACTTTTTATAGATAGTACCTAAGCTTTACTGAAGTAAAGTCATATGAATAGCACAATACCTCTTTCCGTTTCAAGCAGCTGACATTTAACAGTCAGGTCTTCTATTTGCTTAGAAAATGTGAGGGTTTCCTCAAGAGATCGCTGAAGACTTACAATCTCGTGGTCCTTCTTTTTCAAATCTTCTTCTAACTGGGCAATATCAAGTTTGTATTTTTCCACTTGCTCAGATGCACAACTGCATTAAAAATATTATGAAGAGAATTCCTCTTTAGGTACTGAAAAAACATGTTCAACAAAATAAGGTGCTCTTGTTTTGTATGAGCAAAACAATTTTGATACTGAATCCAGGACTTCCCAAATGCCAGGCAAGTACTCTACCAACAAAGTTATATCCCCAGCCGGTAAGGTCCATTTTACTTAATAACTTTTCAATTATTTTCTTATTCAACATGTATGAGTTTTACCTGCCTGAATGTCTGTGCACCACACAGTGTGCAATGCCCACAGAGGCCACCAGCTAAGATTCCCCTGGGGGATGGAGTTACATATGGTTATGGGTGCTGGGAATTGAACTGGGCCTTCTGGAAGAGTGTTGTAGCCCATCTGGATTTCCTGGTAGCTTTGCCCAGCAGGTCTGCATAAAGAGGATGACTGGACCACAGACCTGAGTACCAGGTGTTTGGAAGGGTCTACACTTGGCTGTATCGAGCAGGGGGAGGTCCTTTGCTCCTCCCCTTGGCATTGTCATAAAAGCCCTTTGGAATAAAGTTCTGGGCTGGTGGATGAAGATCCAGGCCCTCCTGAGGCTATCCTGTGTTTCTGTCTTTCCTCTCGTCATCTAGGTATCTCTTTCTAGCTAATATTTCTCCCTTCTCCCTACTCAAGAGAACCCTGGGACGTAAAAGTGGTGGCTGGTCTGCCACAGAAGAGCAACCAGTGCTCTTAACCACTGAGCAACTTCTCCAGCTTGGAAGTTAATTTTAAAGCTACTATTTATATTACCTAATTTCTTCGATGTATTCTAAGAGTTTTTCTGTTTCAGATTTTTCATCAGTCTTTTCTTTCTCTATGGAAACTCTGAAAAGAAACAAAAGGAAGTATATACATATGGTTCATTTATTTAATAATCATGCATAGATAGTACTTACTAGATGCTAAATACTATTATGTCAGGTAAGGTAACTCCAGAGGTCAAATTCTTACCTATAATTTCATGTGATTTTTCAGGTTAACAACTTAGATCAACACAGGTGACTAGATTTTATTTACATGATAAAGCTTTCCAAACATGCTCTGATGAAAGAGGTACGATGAGAGCCACAGTATAAATTAGAAATGGTCTTATTTTGCAGCTTTCCTAGTTTTCTTATCAACCCAAATCACATTTTGTGTGCTAAGAGGCTTCCATCCCAGGCTGTACAGTATTTGATTACTTATGTGATTTAAGTTCTTCAAGATGATGTAGTTTGAGGGATGAATGAGATTTAAACAGACACATCACAATAGAAGATACATAAAGTCTATAAACACACATAACAGCACTCAACATTAATAAGACATTAAAATAATAAATTACTGCCAGGTCATATGGTACAGGCTTGTAAATCCTAGCAACCTGGGAGGCTGAGGCTGGAGGATCCAGACTCTGAAGACTTCCTGGGCTACTTGAGACACACAACCTTGCTTCAAACAGGAACAAAGACAAATGAGAAATTAGTATATGGCATCATTAGAAAGGCTGAAACAGACCGTAATATCAAACACTATGATTATAGAACGACTCCAAAGACCACTTGGCTGCAGGGTTGTAAAACAGCACAGCTATGCATGCATGTGGTGTGTGTGTAGATGTGTTTCTGTACATGGGTAATTCATGAACAAACAGCTTTGTGTGTGCATGTGGAAGTCTGTGACATGTGTGAGATATGTTTATGTATGCAGGTATACACACAATGTGTGTGCTTGTGGAGCCTGGGAAGTCATCAGGTGGCCTCCTGTTATGCTTGACCTCATTTTTCAGAGGCAGGGTCTCTCAATGTGGAGCTCATTGGTTTGGCTAGCCGGCTGATGAGCAGGCAGTCAGCATCTGCCTGTCTCTATTCACCATTGTTGAAATGATACACAAGCCCCCAGGCCCAACATTTTATGCAGGTCCTAGGGATTCTATGTGGGCACTCAGGTCCTCTGGTTTGTGCAGCAGGCACTTTGTTCACCGAGTCATCTCCCAGCCCTTAACTCTGAGCTAGAAAAGATGTTTAATACACATTATTCTGGTCTGAGATTCCCACTCCTATATGCTTACTAAAGAGAAATAAAAACATATTCATGAAGACATACAGATGTGCACAGCTGTCTTATTCAGTAGTCAAAAAAACTAAAAACAGCTCAAATAATGATCAAGAACAGTAATAAATTGAGAAATAGTCATTTAGTGAAATTAAACTAAGCAATGAAAATGAAAAAAATTATACTACACATGACAGTATACATGAACTGTGATGAACAAGTCTTTTACTCTGAATAGTATTGTAGAATACTATTTTAAGATCTGTTATGTTCATTTATGCTGTGGAACATTTGTTTAATGATGCAAAGATGTGCTGCATTCTTTTATGTTACATTTGTTTACCTCTGTGAAGCCGTGTTACTCTGCCTGTCTAAAACACCCGATTGGTGGGTATACAGCCAAAGGAAACAAAGTCACACTATATGGAAGTAATAGCTACACTCCCATGCTAGCCTCAGCACTACACACACAGCCACGACACAGAAGCCACTGACACCTAGTCAAGAGATGAGTGGGTAAGGAAAATGTAGCAAAGACATACGGCGGAATAGTACTTAAGCATATAAAGCAAGCAAAATCCTTACATTTGTTACATCATGGACGGAATTAGAGTTCATTACGTCAGGTGAAAAAAGCGAGGCACAGAGACAAATACCACATTTCCCAAAAGAGTAGAATTAAAAATTGGTTATCATAGACGCTGAGGATAGAACACGGTACTGAATCTTGGAAAAACAGGGGAAGGCCAGCATGGGAATGGTTGATCAAGAGGAAGTGTGTCATATTTTTCACTATAAGGAAGTGAGAAGATTCTTATATATAATTTGATTTCTTCACTAGACAATGTATATGTACATTAAAACATTAGAGAATTCTGTTAATGTATAGTTATGTATAGTTTAATAGAGCAGTTAAAGTGAAGGAAAAAAATTAAAAAATCGTCACACTTAACCTTTTCCTTTTACCACTTACAGTTTTCCCTCCAGTTGGACTATTTTCCCCTGAGATTCTTCAAGGTCCTTCTGTGTGGCCTGCAGCTTCAGCTCCATGCCTTCATGTTTAGCCATCATACTCTGCACAACAGAGATAACTATTTTAGGAAATGAGAAATTCTTAGGTCCCCAGAGTCAAGAGCCGTATACACACCAAAGGCAGCACTCACCCTCATCTTCGTTTCTCTTTTATTTCTAAGTTTCATCAACTCCAGGCTTAGAGTTCTCATATTCTTATGGTTACCATCTTCAGAAAACTATAACATAAAAATTCAGAAATATTTTCTGCCAAGTCGTATGTACACTTACTTAAAGTCTGGTATGGCATCAGATGCCCGTTATCTCAGCACTTGAGGCAGAGGCAAGGTGATCGAGAGGTCATGGTCAGCCTGGGCTTCCTAAGACCCTGTCTCAACAAAACAAAAGACAAAGACTTACTGAGATACTGATCACTGGGCCTGTCACCGGAGCTATTAACTGTGCGCAATGTACTTTGGCAGAGAAAACAGCTTTGACGACAACAGGAACTGACTGTGTGCCAGTACTCTTTTCCCCTTTCCCCCTTGATTTCTCAGTGGTTCTTAACCTTCCTAATGCTACGACCCTTTAATGAAGTTCCTTGTGCTGTGCTGACCCCCAACCATAAAATTATTTTTGTTGTTCCTTCATAACTGTACTTTTGCTACTGTTATGAATCATAATGTAAATATTTTTAGAGACAGAGGTTTGCCAAAGGAGTTGCAACACACAGGTTGAGAACCGCTGGTCTAAGTGGTCATTTACTAGTACATGCTAGAAAGGCCACTGTAGGGTTTAAGACAAACCCCAGAAAAGACTTGTGGAACTATGTTTGCTAAAGTAGTCTCAGCTGCCTGGGACACCCGAAATATACAGGATGTGAGGCCTAGTCCAGGCCTTCTAGGTCAGAATCTCCCTTGGGCTCTAATACACCTTTTACTCCCTACATAACGAGTAGAGCCTATCACAGGCCCTGAATAAATGATGAATTCAACTGAACAGTGACTTGCCTCTTCCCTCCATTTCTGCCATTAGTTAATGGAATCATATTATATTCGTTAGAATCTACTAGTACATTATTTACTTACAAACACAATTTATGTAATGAGTATATTCACTCCATTAATTATTTCTAAGCTCTTTAATTAAAAAAATAGGTAAAAATAATCCTACAGAAGTAGGCTAATATTAAAGTAGTTAATAGTCACAGAGAGACTAACGGCTTGCCAATGTCTACTACATTCTTTTCAGACCCTTACTTGCCTTCTTGAAATAGACCAGTACTTAGCATTCCACCATCACTCTAGTTTGTGTGATTAGGACCAGTGAAAGCAAGAACTCCTACCCTATGGTGTAAGAGTATAAAGAGCCTCAACCCCACTTCTAAGTTTCATAAGCTTAAACTGCCAAACAACTTGAATTTAAAGGTAAGGACCATTCCACTGTAATGCTCTCAGGAGGTTCAACTACCTTAGATTTTAGCAGCTCGTTGGCTCTGGTTAGTTCAATAAGCCTTTTTTCCAGTGAAGCATTACTTGCAGAAAGAGATGTTTTCTCTCTGACTGCTACGCTCAGCTTTGCTTCTGTCTTCTCCAACTCAGATTCCATATCCTGGATTCGTTTGTCCTGAGCACCTCGCTCCTGCAAAAGCACACGAATCTGGAAGAAAATGAGAGGATAAATGCAGGATTGATCCGATTGGTACCAGAAGTCTCAAATGTTCTAAGAAACTTATAATTTGATATGGTGTTCAGACATTCTTATTTTACTTGCTATTTGAATAATCACATTTACCTTATGACACATGTTAAAGATATGCATTATAAATACAGAACGATTAGTTTTGAGAAGCAGAAGCAGACAGATTTGTGATTTTTCAGCCAGGCTGGTCTACATAGAGTTCCAGGCAAGTTAGAGCTACATACTGAGACCCTGTCTCAAACACACACATACACAACAAAACACAATGGTTCTTACTTGCCATAAACTTACAAGTGTAAGATAGCTAGCTATTTATTCCCTTAAAGGTTGTAAGAACTCTTGCTTTCTCTGGTCCTAATTTCACAAATTTAAATTACAGTTTGAAGGGCTCTATGTTTCTTATTTGAAGAAAACAGAGTCCTCAGTAGAATTTAACAGGCTGCAGTGAGCCATCAGTTTTGTCGTCTCTACTAGTTAACTAAACAAGAGCAAAACAAAGAAGCTAGTATTTGTCAATAGTAAACAAAGAAACAACACATTGAAAATGTCTAGGGAGGACCAGGGAGATGACTCAGTAGGTAAAGGGTTTGCTGCTCAAACATGAGGATTGGAGTTTGGAGCCCCAGGATCCATGTAGATACCAGGAAGGTGTTGTGGCCCATTTGTAATCCCAGTACTTAGGGTAGAAACAGATCTCTAGAGCGAGCTAGCTGGGCAGACTAGCTGAAATGGAGAGTTCAGGTTCTGTGAAACTCTGCCTCAATACTGAAGGTGGAGAGCAATTTAAGAAGACACTGTTTTCCACATCTATGCACAGGTGAACATGCATACATAAAGTATGTACACCACACACCCATGGGGGGGAGAAAAAAAGTCTGGGTAAAAACTTGCCAATCTAAAATCTGATGCAAATAATCAGTCCTAATCTTGGCAGTGCCACTCACCCATCAGCAATGTCACTAACTCAATCATTACATGTGTGTCACTCACAACCTCCTCCTCATTGTCATGGATCCTCAATAAAGCAGTTAATACTAAATTAAATGAGAACAGTGACTAAGCCAAGGAACTATTCCCTAGAGGTTCTGATAGGAATGACATATTTACCTCACTGCAGAACTACTCAAAATGTTATAGGATCTCGGCCTGCAAATCTGTGTAATTCTCTTTCCATTATAGTATTTATTCCCCCGTAAGTTGAAAGAATATGGTTTACCTCTTTTTCTAATCTCTTCAAATCTTTATCATTCTTCTGAGAGTCCTTCTGTATAAAAGTCAAAAAACAATTATGAACTTACATGCCACAAACATCACAGCCCAATCTGATACTCAATTATTTATTTTTGGTCTTTTCCAAAGTAAAAAGAATTTATGTGTATGGGTGTTTTGCCTGCATAAATGTTTGTGAACTGTGTGTGCCTGGTGCCTGCAGAGGCCAGAAAGGGGCACTGAATCCTTGGGAATCCTTTATAACTGGAGTTATAAACTGTTGTGAATTGCCAAATGGGTGCTGGGAATTGAACCTGGGTACTCTCAAAGTGCAGCCACTGAACCATTTCTCTAGCCTCTAATTTTTAGTCTTTTGAGTCAACAACTCACTATGTAGTACACATTGGCCTTGAATTCCCAATCCAACTTTCAAGTGCTGGGATTGAAATCACATACTAATACACCTATCTTCATGTGTCTCTTAAACACTGTAGAGGGCTATTAAATATTTTATTGGCAATTTCTCTGATAAATAAAATGCCACCCACCTCACCCCTATCCCCCATTTTTCCAAGACAGGGTTTCTCCATGGGAACACGCTCCCAGACCAGGCTGGTCTCAAACTCACAGAGATCTACCTGCCTCTGGCTCCTGTGTGCTGAGATTAAATGCACGTGATACCACTGCCTGGCCAAAAACATTCTTAAAACCTGAAAAGATTTCACTTTTCTAAATTTCAACCCATTAGAAAAATAGCTTTTCCTTTCCTTTACAATAAAATTAGAGGTCTGTAACTAAAACTTGTGATTCTGGTTTTCTTCATGGCATTTAATTGGCATTTAATTTACGTAAGACATAACATTCACATAATGTTGTATATAGCAGCCATTCTGACACAATGGAAGGAAATATAAATATCCTTACTGACATGTACACACACACACACACACACACACACACACACACACACATACATATACATGTGCTCACACACACTGCCTTATGGTTAGTATTGCTGTGATAAGACACCATGACCAAAAGCAAGGAAAGGGTCTATTTTGCTTACACTTCCACATCACAGTCCATCACTGAAGGAAATCAGGGTAGGAACTCTGGAAGCAGGAACTGATGCAGAGGCCATGGAGGAGTGCTGCTTACTGGCTTGCTCCTCATGGCTTACTTAGACTGCTTTCATATAACACCAGGCCAACCAACTCAGGGATGATGGTACCATCTACAAATGGGCTGAGCCCTCTTACATCAATCACTAAGAGAATGCCCTACAGGCTTCCTAAAGGCCAGTCTTATGGAGGTTGTCTCCTCTCAGATGACTCTAGATTGTATCAAGCTGCATAAAAACCAGTCAGCTGGCGGGGGGGGGGGGGGGGGGGGGGGGGGGGGGGGGGGGGTTTGACCCCCCCCCACTTTTTAAAACAAAACTTAGTTTTTCATTAGCACTAGTTGCATTTCAAGTACTCAGTAGCCATATATGTTGTTTACTTCCACAATGGACAGCACAGCTCTACATTACAGAATAAGAGACCTTAGTAGCTACCAAATAAATCAAATGTATCAGTCACATGATAATATCTGTTAATCTTCACAACTCCTAAACAAAGTGACATTCTTAGGAACTAATGAAAAACAGTAGGGTCTTGCTTAAACAATATTATAAAGTTCTTAAGAGTTTATTTAGGTTTTTTGTTTTTGTTTTTAAACTTTCCGAGACAGGGTCTCATGTAACCCAGGCTAGCTTTGAGCTCTCTGTGTAGCCAAGGTTGGGCCTGAAGTCTTAAAGTCCTAATTCTCCTGACTCCGCTACTCAAGTGCCAGCATCAAAGGCACATGTTATACAGCCAGCTCTATTAGGAAGAATTTAATCTACTGTTCAGCAATTTGAGTTAACAACCTCTTTCGGTCATTGAGATTTTTATTTTTCTCTTTTCTTCAGCAATACATATCCTTCTCCACAAAAAAAGCAGACAAGCAAACAAACAAACAAGTAAATAGAATAAAGCAACTCAGATGATACTAACAAATCAAAGCATGACACACTTGTAAAGGCTTACAAGGTAATTAATTATCAGATTTATCTCTATAAAGAAATGGCTTTGTAATTATAAACAAAGAGCCCATTCAAAGACTTACTAATAAATTAGGCAGAATGTGAAACCTGCTAGAGTTCTAATGATACTTACATTACTAATAGATTAAAGAAAAAAAAAAAAGATTCACTCTCATTTATGTATATGTCTGTGTGTGTGCATGCCTTGTGACTATGAGCGCCCTTGGAGGCCTGTGAAGTTATCAGATCCCCTGGAACTCCAATTCCAGGGGTGGGGACCTGAACTCAGGTCCTCTGAAGAGCACTAAGTGTTCTTATTGAGCTAACTCTCTAGCATCAACTTACAAATAAATTTGATTTATACACTTAGCCATTTTAATCAAATACAGTATCTTGTAGGCATGTAGTCAATGATATAATGAATATACCAATAGTCTTATAAATGTTTCTCACCTTTGACACCGAAGTCTTTGCCTTTTTAGATGAAGCAAGCAAGGTAGTATCTTTGTCAACATTAAGATTTTGTTGAGATTCTGGAAAAAATAAATTAATATGACCATGGTTGATGTTTGCATGTTTTAACCACATACAATAAAATTTCCAAATTTCTTACTGCAGACAGTAATTGAAGCAAGATAAGCTTTCCTTTGGGTTGTACATTTCAAATAATTACTTGCACAATTATTTGTTATAGACCTAAAACCTTCTTGATAGTCTTTTTTTTTTTTTAAATAAACCTTTTTTATTTTTAGATGAAAATATAAAACTTATAAAAAAGTTTTATTATTTTTTTTAAAAATAAACTTGTTCATATCTGTGTGGGGGTATGTGTACTTGAGTGCTTGTAACCCAACTGAGGTCCTCAGCAAGAGCAGTATGTGCTTTTTAATCACTTAGCTAGCTCTCCAACTCCTTATTGGCAGTCCCAATATTCCGACAGAAAAGAAAAGCAATTATCAAAAGGGAAACTACCTATCTGCAAAGGTCTTGCATAATTTCTCTTGTTACATACAGTGTAACTATGAAAAAAATCATTCTGTACTTGATTCTTTAATAAATATACCAAATAATGATATCTAAATACACTTCTGGTCATAAAAACTCTAGAAGTGCAGAAGCATTTTAAAATTTCAGCCGGGCGGTGGTGGCGCACGCCTTTAATCCCAGCACTCGGGAGGCAGAGCCAGGCGGATCTCTGTGAGTTCGAGGCCAGCCTGGGCTACAGAGTGAGTTCCAAGAGTGGCGCAAAGCTACACAGAGAAACCCTGTCTCGAAAAACCAAAAAAAAAAAAAAATTTCAATAGTATTGCTTACATTAGGTTATAAGGCTGTATAACCATTGTTTGTTTAAGGACCCATTACCTCTTTGGTTTTTAAATCTTTGTGATTTCTGAAAAGACACTGGTCCTTTAGATACTTCAGAAGTTTTAACATCATAAGCACCTGGAGATGGAGCACAACCTATAGAAAACAAAAAACAGCAATGTATCATTTAAACTTATTGTTTGATTACTACTATTCGCATGTTAGCAATACCTATAATAAGTATCTATGATCTTAAGTTATAAACACAGGAAGAGGCGATCTCAATCAAGGAACTGACTTCATCAGAAGTTCCAGTGATATTCTACCCCTAGGTAAGTGGTCCTGGGTTAACAAAGCATGCCATGAAAGCAAGCCAGTAAGCAGAAGTCCTCCCCCTGTGCTTCACTTCCTGCCTTGGTTTGCCAAGGATAGACTGCAACCTGGAAACCAAATAAACCCTTCCACTCTGTTCCCCACACATGCAAATACTGTCTGGCTGAGTTGTTTTCAGTCTGTCAATGAATTAATATAAATGGTTTAAAAAAACTTGTATTTCCCAAGATATACTAATGTACTATGATGCTTTTGCTTAATAGTCTTTCTTCCCTGGTCTTGATCTCTCCAGTGGTCCACTATGTAAGTCAGGCTCACCCAGAACTCACAATACTCTAGGCTCATCTTGAATCCATCAGTCTCTTACTTTAGCTTCCAGGGTGCTTAGATCGCATGTGGCATGATGGCTCGCTTCAGTGTACCTTCCTTTACCTCGCTCTTTGTCCTCTCTGAAAGTATGGGCCAGGTGGTAGCCTAGGCTACTAGGACTCAACATGCTTGAAGAGTTTTTTTTTTTAACCCCGCCCCCTCCACTGGCTGCTTGCCAAATCAAAAGCAGTATGACTCGAGCTTTTCCAGAGGCATGTCGTAGAAGCAGAGAGCAAAGGAGAATAGCCCTGTTTTCTGTATTCAGAGTGGAAAACCGTAATGTCAATAAGAGCCTGTCAGTGCAGTAAAGTCAAGCTGCATGAGACAGTTTCTCCCATTTCATGTCAGCCACAAGGAAAGAATCAGAGGAAATACAATTTTGGACTTCATAATTTTATCATTTTATAAATACAAGAAACTATGGGCTTTAAAGAAACAGAGTTCATGGCTTCCTTATGCATGCAGATCTAGCCTTGAGCACTGAAAATCCGCCAAGTTACAACACAGCTGCAGCTAATGTAGACAACTGTGTTGGAAGGGACTTTGAAGCATGTCCATTTCATCTCTCTGGTGTCTACATTTATTTTGGTCCCACGTGTTTGAATCTCTTAAGACATAAAAATCTATAAAGCTCCAAGCAAGCTTATTATAGCAGTAGATATTTACTCTTAGAAATGTACCTGCTTGTAAATAATATACTTGTTTTTCACTCACTTTCTAGAATCTCACCAAATAATCACTTTTTTTTTTTTTTTTTTTTTGGTTTTTCGAGACAGGGTTTCTCTGTGTAGCTTTGCGCCTTTCCTGGAACTCGCTTTGGAGACCAGGCTGGCCTCGAACTCACAGAGATCCGCCTGGCTCTGCCTCCCGAGTGCTGGGATTAAAGGCGTGCGCCACCACCGCCCGGCTCACTTTTTATTCATTATGGACTTCAAAGTATTTAGAGATAACTATTTCATTATCATGGATTTTTTTCTTCTTCATACTAAGTACCTGTTATTCTATCAACTTTTCTTATGATGCAGACCACTGATTCCTCTTGTGTTCTCGATTATTTTAGAAGTTTTCATCTGTTACTATTCTATTTAAAATTCTAAATATGTATTCTGAAAAGATTAGGACAATGAGACCATTACTAGAAAAGTCACAGAGACAACAGAGGATTTCCATGAAGTTATCATCCTCTGCTGTTATAGGTACAATTCATTTGTAAACCCTGTTATTTATTAATCACAAAGTGGCTCCAATTGCTGGTTTGATTATTATTATTTTTTCATGTATTTCTTACCCATGTTGGTCTCTTCTAACTTAAAACAATCAAATCAGCTAATGAAGTAATGGGTTTCTGTATGGGGTTTTTATTACACTAATGCCTTCAAGCTTCCAAACTTCTGTATTTTCTAGTTGGCCATTTAGAATTCACTGTCCACTGTCAATTTTGTCCAGCCGATCCTCCTTTACCTTCCAGATGTCAATCTGGATATTGCTTCTAGCTTTGGCAGAGTCCCCAAATTAGGCTAGCAAATCCTCACAGCCTCTTCTATCTTTCCTCCAAAGAACTTCCACACTTTCCTGAGGACTTATTTGCTCCATCTCCACATCAGACAAAACTGCTTGCAATCAGGGAGGAGAGCCAGCATGTCTACTGCTCTAGTATTTAGCTCATGGTTGTGTTGAGCGGTATGTAAAACATACTGGTTTGGGGTGTGGGAATGGACTCGGCTTTCGTAATCAGCCAGGTGATGGATGATTCATATCCAGCTCTGTCTGACAAGCTACAGAAAACACTGTGCCAGATACTTTGTGCACATACAGAGAACACACTGAATAAAAACATTAGATTCCCTCCTTTTCCCCAGGATGATTTTTCTTTTTTTTTTTTTTTTTTTTTTAAAGATTTATTTATTTATTATATATACAGTGTTCTGTCTGCACATATCCCTGCAGGCCAGAAGAGGGTGCCAGATCTCATTACAGATGGTTGTGAGCCACCATGTGGTTGCTGGGAATTGAACTCAGGACCTCTGGAAGAACAAACAGTGCTCTTAACCTCTGAGCCATCTCTCCAGCCCCAGGATGATTTTTCTTGAGGTGGAAAAAACAAAATGAAACAAAAAAAAACTTCTGGTTTTGAAGATAACTGGGTTAAAAGAAACTGCCACTGACTCACGACTATTAAATGTCAGGTAAATGTTATTCTTGAAACTGTAAAGCCTGAACTACCACTCCTTAAAACCAAACAGCAGCTGAGCCATATGTGGTGGTGTGGGTTTCTAAGTTTCAGAACAGATGGGAGATGGCAGCACGAGTTCAAGGCTAGCCTGGGCTACATGAAACCCTATCTCAAAACAAAAACAAACAAACAAACAAAAAATCACTGGGCGGCAGTAGCATATGCCTTTAATCCCAGCACTCGGGAGGCAGAGCCAGGTGGATCTCTGAGTTCGAAGACAGCTTGGTCTACAGAGCGAGATCCAGGACAGGCACAAAAACTACACAGAGAAACCCTGTCTTGAAGGGGGAAAAAAAATCTGCCCTGATCTGCAGGACCTAAATTGTTTGAGTATCTTGGAAATGGTGTGGCCCAGGAGCTGGATTAATCTGACCACTCACTTGACCTTGTAAATAGAGTGGGGTTGACAGAAATCACAGACGTAGTACTGACTATTAAATAGTATGTTACAGTGGATATAGAATGGCCTTTGATGGTGGGCTCTATCACTGACTTGCTGGCTTTTCAGTATAGTCAGAAACTCCCTCAAATTTCTCATTTGTAAAGAGTACAGCTTTGGTACTTTGTTCATCTGGCTGCTTAAGGGAATAAGTTCCAGACCTTAGGACAGTTCAGTTGTACAGCTAGCACCTGTCAAATCATACCTAAGGCTCTCTAGTTATTGTGGTTAAGAGCACAGGCTATATTAATGAAAGCCTGGGTTCACATCCCAGTTTTGTCAGTTCAGTTTTATAACACTGAGCAGATTTCAGTCTCATTTTTCTCTTCTTTTACTTAAAACTTTATGTGTTGGGAGGGGTGAGTCACTGGCAATCTTTCTATGTAGCTCAGGCCACTAGACCTGGAAGCATCTATTTCTTAATGGTGGAAACATTAAAAATTCCTTTACCCTAACTTTTTGGACACTACCACCATCTACACTCAATTAATTTACTGTGCCATCGACACACCAAGTTCCAGTGTCTAATCACTAGAACACTGACTATTACTTCAGGATTGTTTCGAGAGTGGAAAAAAAATTTGTTTGGAGCAGCTGTTATTACTTAACTGATTTCTCAAGCTCCATGCTTCTATGCCTGAATGTAACGTTTAAAAAAAAGAAAGAAAGAAAGAAAATTCAAACGAAAGTAACTTAAAAAAAAAAAAGAAGAAGAAGAACGTAATGCCTGCCAATTCTAAACCCCTTGAACCAATTTTAGTTTCACCACGGCGTTAATGGCTTACTGGTATAATTTCCGGCTTGAAGGCTCGCCGTGTCGGGGGAGGACCCTATTTCCCTCGGAGACACATCCCTATCATCCTAGACAGCACTTGCTGAGTGTTTACTGCATGATGTATTTTGAGAAAGACAAATACCATCCCAGCCCTAATCTGGCTCGGGGTCCACTGAGGGAGGAGGGGTCGAGGGCGCGTCCCCTTCCCACCCTGCTCCCGCACCACCCGTACGCACCCGAGGGGTCATTGAATCTTTTCAGGGGCGCCTTAGGAAAAGACATGCTGACAGCTGGATCCACGACGGCCACCGAACGCCTCGGCAACTGTCTGCTCGCTGAATTCAAATCCTCCCCGCGTCAGCCAACCAGAAAGCCTAAACCGAACTGACCAATCCTAAATAGACTGAGGAGCATGCGCACTAGATTTGTACCGCGTCCAATGGGGAAGGCTGTAAGTTTAAGCTGATAGCCAATGAGAGACTGGTTCTGTTCGCCGCCGCCCCTGCTCTATCCAATCACGTTTGGTGTTGCTCAAGTTGACTCACGGTTCGCGCAAGCGCACTTCACCGGTGCCGGTAGGCGACTCCGTATTCTGGCGTCTTACAGGTTAATAGTTCGCGAACGCCGGTCTCTGTTCCATTGTCATCGTTCTTGGGATGCCAACCTCTCTGGGCTTCGGTTCTTCCACACCAGGTCTCGCGAGGGTCCTAAATGGGCCCTGAAAGGGGAAAATTTGCACGCTCGGACACGCCGGCTTGGACTCTTGCGCATGTGCAGTGACCCCAAGGCGCGGAGGGCAAGCTCCTGAGCCGCATCCCGCGTGTGCAGTGCTCTCTCGGAGCGTTGTCCCTGCCCCTGCGTGGCGTCCGGAGGATGTCTGCCCCGTTTGAGGAGCGTAGTGGGGTGGTTCCGTGCGTCACGCCGTGGGGCCAGTGGTACCAGACCCTGGAGGAGGTGTTCATTGAAGTCCAGGTGCCCCCGGGCACTCGCGCGCAGGACATCCAGTGCCGCCTGCAGAGCCGGCATGTGGCTCTGGCCGTGGGTGGCCGTGAGATCCTCAAGGTAGCAAGCCAGGGCTTGTCCCGAGTTCCTTCTTCTGGCCTCCCCGCACCCCGAGTCCTAAAATTCACGGTTTCAGAGGGATGACTGCTGGGTGGAAAGGTCAGTTCCTGGCTGGCAGAAAGAAAGCAGTAAACTGATGTGGCAAGGGGGGTCTCATTGCAGCACCCACTCCCAGGGCAGACCTTGCGTAGGTGTAATGTAAAGATTTGGTGTCCGTCTTTGTGTCTAAAATAGATTTGTGCTACTTCTAATTCCTCTGGGGTTCCTCTGCTGACAGAAAGGCTGACTAGATAAAAAGAACAAATGTGCATCTTCTAGGTACTGATCTCAGCCCCGGAGACTGTAGACAAAAGGTTCCTAAACTCTTTGTGATGTGTAGGCAAAGAATAATGAAGAGGTGTGTGAAGAAAATAGTGCCTCTTTTATTTGGTTCATCAATATATTTTTGAATCTGGCTACGCCTTTAATCCCAACACTCCGAGGAGGCCCGAGGCAGGCAGATTTTTGTGAGTTGGAGGTCAGGCTGGTCTACAGAGCAAGTTCCAGGATAGCCAAGGGCTGTTTCACAGAGAAACTCTGCCTGGGGTGGGGGTGGGGGCGGGGAAGAATTTTCACATAGCAATGTGAGATTATATTTTGCCCCTTGATTAGATGGCTTGCCTGTTGGCTGGCCATACAGTGTAGTGGTGAAGGGAGATGTGGTACTATGTTTTGTAACCTTGACAGAAGAAGATGAAAAATTAGTCACAGCTAATTCGACATCAAATCTGCAATATGTGATTAAATCTCCTTAAGAAATTGGCTTTTTCTAGTGCTAGCTTCTCAAAAGAGATTGAACTGGCTTTTAATAGCATTCACTTTAAAAGATAGCATTTTCCAGGCAGGCATTGGGGCACATACCTTTAATCTCAGCATTTGAGATCAGAGGCAGGTGGATTTCTTCGAGTTTGAGACCAGTCAGGTCTACATAGCGACCTCCAGGACTACATAGAACAGTGGTTCTTAAACTTCCCAAATGCTGCAACCCTTTAATACAGTTCCTCATGTTGGGGTAACTCCCAATATAAAATTGTTTTTGTTGCTACTTCATAAATAATAGGGTGTTTTTGTGGGTTTTTTGTTTTTTTTTTGCTACTGTTGTGAATCATAATGTAGATATCCTATGGGGGTCACAACCCATAGGTTGAGAACCACTGACATAGAGACCCTGCCTCAAGGAAAACAAAAATAGAACATTTCTTCTAGTTTCAGCAGGAGTTCATTTTGATTGGTAAAACATTTTATACATTAATTTCACATTTATTCTATCAGCAACGAGTAGTATGTCTTCATCCGTTTTGTTTAGAAGGTCCTGTGTTCTTTTGCATGCTAAATATGTCAAATTTTTAAACTGGAGTCCCTTTCATTCAGTGGGAGGAAGTTCAAGGTTGAGTACCTATAATTAAGCTGAACTAGTCCAAGATGTGGCTTAGCTTGAAATCAGCTAAATCTTCATTATGAGAATGTATAAAATTTAATGTTGTATCTTTAGTACCTTATATTTATTTTCCAGGGAAAATTATTTGATTCTACAATCGCTGATGAAGGAACATGGACTTTGGGTAAGAATAATCTATTATGATACATTAACTTTAAAAAGTTAGATTATGGGGGCTGGAGAGATGGCTCAGTGGTTAAGAGCACTGGCTCTACTTCTAGAGGCCCCCAGTTCAATTCCCAGCACCCACATGACAGCTCACAACTGTTATCCAACTCAGAGTGATTCGACACCCTCATACAGACATAAATGCAGGCAAAAAACCAATGCACATAAAATAAAAAAATAAATCATTTAAAAAAAATTTAGATTGTGATAACGTTTCTTCTTTTTTTAAATCTTCTTGTCCTTGTAGCTGTGGAAGATGGAGAAAAGTGTTGGGAACAACTGTATATCAGAATTACCTAACAGTCTTTAGAAAATACAAGGATTAACTCTTTCTGTAATGACTCTGTAACTTGTTTCTTATTTTTATCTTAAGAGGATAGAAAAATGGTCCGCATTGTCCTGACAAAGACCAAGAGAGACGCTGCAAACTGTTGGACTTCTCTTCTAGAATCTGAATATGCAGCTGATCCCTGGGTGCAAGACCAAATGCAGAGAAAACTTACATTAGAGCGGTTCCAGAAAGAAGTAAGTCAGATGGATGCTGGTGTGAGTACGTACAGTTACATGACCCAAAATCACAGGTTTTCCCTCATATTGTAGTATACAAAGTACTTAAAAAAAACCTTCTGGGTGAAGTTTAAAGTGAATGGCAAGAAAATAGCCTAGTGTGTGGGTTTTAAATTTCACAAATATATTCATTGCTGTGAGACTTAAGATTGCTGAATGCACATCAATAATTCATGAATAATAAATCTAAATAACTGGACCACTGTAGTGTACATAGTATAAAAAGATGAGAGATCCCTGCGTTGCTGTTCCCCCACCTCATACCTCTGCCTCATTCTCATCTCTTGGCCTTTTTGTCTGTTTAATTTGTAACAAAGGTGGGGATTCCTACCTTGCTTGTTTTCGTGGTGCTTTTTCCTTTAATAGTGTAACTTTGGCCTCTTCTCCCAATTGTACCTACGGCTAAAACTCCTCCCCTCTAACTGCTTTATTTCTCTCATTTGCATGTATAAAACTCTCTCTTTCCTTTGATACTGTATCCTTGTTTTTCTCTGTTTTAAACAAACCTATATATACATCTCTGAAACTGCTTAAATGTTCCAAGATAGATATTTGGGAGAGGAATTACTTAACTACTGGACTTCTAATTACTTAACCACTGGACTTTTAAAAGTTTAGTGGATAATTTCTATCTATATCATGCTCATTTCCAAGAATATGTCTATAACCTAGACTTTGCCTTGTAAACTTTCAACCTGCATTTCCAGTTACTTTTTGAACATCTCCATTTAGCTATCTGTCAGACTCCATGTCCAAAGTGAACAAACTAATTTCACTCCCAAACTTATTCTACTTTTCATATTAGTTAATGCAAATTAGTTGTTTAAGATTAAAGGTGTGTGTGGTGGGGGCTTGGAGATGGCTCAGTGGATATGGCACTTGAGATGCAAGCATGAGGACCAGAGACCTACTGGAGGATCTCCAGAATCCATGCAAAAGGTAGGCAGGTGTGGTGGCTACCATTGATCCAACACTCGTGAGGCAGAGACAAAGGATCCCTGGGGCAAGCTGACTCTCTAGACTACCTAGAATTAGGAAGCAATTGAAGAAAACACCTAATACTGACTTTAGTCCTACACAGACACACATAGGTAGATACACACAGGCCCTTCCGCCCACCAGGCAGGTTACTGACAACTCCTAGGAAATCTTATTAGCATTGTCTTCTACTTACATTCAGAGTTTTACCACTTCACACCGCTGGATCTGATAGTACTTGGTCTGGATTACTTCAGTAAATTGCTAACTAGCCTCCTAGACTCTTACCCAAGCAGTCATCTTAAAGTAGTCATTAAAGAAGTCTTTGAATAGTGAAAGTCAGACCAATGCGTTTTTCTTCTCAGAATTCTCCAAGTTCTTCCTTCGCTTAATGGGATAATTGGTCAGTTACTTTCTCACTTACCCCTCCTTTGTTTTTTTGTTTCTCTCTCTCTCTCTCTCTCTCTCTCTCTCTCTCTCTCTCTCTCTCTCTCTCTCTCTCTCTCTCTCTCTCATTGTAATTTTGTTTCGTTTTCTTGAGACAATGTCTACCTGTGTAGGTCTGGCTAGGCTAGAACTTTATATATTTATCAGGCTGGCCTTGAACAGCGTTCTGCTGCCCAACTAGTGGAATTGAAGGTGTGCACCAACATACCTGGCTCTGCTGATTCTGACTGGCATGTTTATTTTCTTGTAGCTTTCAGCTCATCACATTTTAACTATCCCACTTAAGTCTATAATCTTCTCTCTCTTTCTGCTGCCGTACTTCCTGTTTATCTTTTTTGTAGCACTTACAAGCTTTAACACACTAAGCCAAGGGTTGGCAAAATGTAGCCTGGGGAAATTCAGTCTGCTGTATGTCTCTGCAGGTAAAGTTTTTACAGAGACATACCTTTGTTCACTTAGTAGTATGTTATATATAGCAGTTTCTTTCTTTCTTTTTTTTTTTTTTATCTAAGCCTTTATCTCCTTTCAGGTGTGATATATTGGGTTCAGATTTCATTATTAGGATGATGGCATACAAGGTGTGTAGAGGGAAACAACATAGTAAAAGGCTGACCACTACAAAGAGAGCTCTCGCTTGGGTGCT